CTTCGGTTGTATTTTGAATTCCTTAGTTATGCTCTGTATCGCCCGCTGAGGGTTTAATTTTGTGAGGCCGGAGGCCTTTGTTGTAAAATGTTTTGTTGCTTGGAAAACATGCTGCCAGTTGGTTGTAATTAACTGTAAATTTTGAACAAGTTGAAGTTTGGGAATGTTCAATTTACAGGGGAGACTCTGCCAAATTTTTGGTAGAAAGTCTCAGTCTTTACTAAGTGGGCCCGGCATTAGGTTGATGTCGGTAATTAGGCGGGGTCCGTCCCGGATTCCGAGGAAATTCGGGGCGGGTCTTGTCAGTAGTTTTGCTAGTGACATACATTATTCACTGGATTACACTATGGAGAAATCCAAAATGCAATGGGGTTCTCCCTCCGGGTTCTATGGGCTTGCCTCTCGTTGGAGAGACTCTCAATGCGATGACTCCAAGCTATTCCATTGATCTTCATCCTTTCGTTAAGAAGAGACTTCAAAAGTAAATAAACTATGCCTACTCAATTTACCATAACAAATTCTAGTTTCATTTCTCGCTTAAATTCTTCTTTGCCTTGCAGATACGGCCCAATATTTCGGACTAGTTTGGTCGGTAGACCAATTGTAGTCTCAACCGATCCCGAATTCAATAGTTACCTATCTCAACAAGAAGGCAAGCTAGTTGAACTAGGGTTCTTCGACTCATTTGCCAAGATCCTCAAGCTTTCTGGCGAGATAAGTACGGCCGGTAGTATCATTCACAAGTACTTAAGGAGCATTACATTGAATCACTTCGGCGCTGAAACGCTTAAGGAAAAGTTGCTCCCTCTAATAGAAAAAACGGTCGTCAAAACTCTAGACTCCTGGTCAAGTCAGGCATCTGTTGAAGTTAAACATGCTAGCTCAGTTGTAAAAATTTCAACCCAACTACTTAATCACTTATCTATTAGTTATTATGATCCACTGCGCTTATTGTTTATACTAAAATTATCTTTTCTCGCCGTTGCAGATGCTCTTAAATTTTGGTGCCAAGCATACGATTGGTTATGATGCTGAAACATCATCTGATAACTTCAGTGACAAATTTTCTAGAATCATGAACAGTTTATTGTCATTTCCCTTGAATGTTCCTGGTACAGCATACCATAATGGTTTAAAGGTAGTATTCAAAATGGTTTGTTTATCAAAACATGCAAAATTTGTTTCAATTATTCAATCAGATACCATAAAGATATTTAAAGCTTTGGTACCTATTCAGGACCGCGATATGATAATAACAATGCTGAAGGATATGCTAAAGAAGAGACGCATGTCACCGGACACACATCGAGGAGATTTCATTGACCAAATCAGCAGCGACATGGACAAAGAGAAGTTCTTGTCCGAGGATTTTGTTGTTTATGTCTTATTTGGGATGTTGTTTGCTGGCTTTCATCCTATTTCATCAATAATGGCATTAGCTTTCAGTGTACTTGCAGAGCATCCTGCAGCTCTAGAAGAGTTGACCGTAAGTACACAAAGTTTAGGCATCAATTTAACATGTTCTTTAATTTTCTACATAAGTCGCAAATAATCAAATATCTTTTATCGTCAAGGCTGAGAATGAGGCACTTCTCAAAAACAGAGAAAATCCAAATTCCTCACTCACATGGGACGAATATAAATCGATGACTTTCACTCATCAGGTAATTAGTTGTACAAAGTACACAAGCTCAGCATGTTTTTTCTACTCACACAATACTATGGAAAAAATCTTATTAACTTGCTGGTCTTTGGAAAACATAGATTGTCAATGAAACTCTTAGACTGGGAAATCTTGGACCTGCATTGTTCCGCAGAGCTTTGAAAGATATCCCAGTAAACGGTACGTCCTTGGTTACAAATAGCTTAGGCCTTTAGTTTCTAACTGCAAATGTTTTTTTCACTAAAATGTTGAAGTACATGCTTTGCAGGATTTACAATTCCAGCAGGTTGGACGATTATGGTTCTCACCTCTGCACTTCAACTAAGTCCCAACACATTCATGGATCCCCTCGAGTTCAATCCGTGGCGTTGGAAGGTGCGTTTTGGTGGGGAGGAAGAGAGGGATTTGGTGTTGTAACTTGAGAGTAATATTGCCATTTTTCCAAAATAAGCTAATTTTGTTTATACACACTTGTGTAAATATTTTATGGAAATTAGGACCTTGACTCCCTTGTTGTATCGAAGAACTTCATGCCGTTTGGTCGAGGATCGAGACAATGCGCAGGGGCAGAGTATAGTAGGGTGTTCTTGGCCACCTTTCTCCATGTCTTGGTCACCAAATATAGGTACGTATATTTCACCATTCCCCTCTTATTTTTTATCTTCTCACCACAAGCTACAAATATACTGTGTGCCTACAAGGTTTTTGATAGAGCTTAATCATCTTTTGGATTTTAACTTTTTTGTTCATAGCTGGAAAACGATCAAAGCAGGACGCATTGCTCGAAAGAATATGTTAGTACTTGGGGCAAGCATTCACATTAAGCTCTCGGAGAAGAAAAACTGAGATACTTTTCAAATTCTGTTTATGGGAAATGATCGAGCACTTGTCTAGATGTACCTATAATTAAAAATAACGTGCAATTAAGTTATGAATTAGCCCAAAAACAGGAAAATCTATATAATTAAGTTGGAATAATTGAGGGTTTGTGCACTAAAAAGGCCTCCCAGTTATTAATATTAACTACATGAGTTGTTCTAAATGAGTTGTTCTATCTGGTTGTATAGGGATTCAGCCTCCTTGTTTCTTTTGATTTAATAAATAACCGATTTTAAGTTTACCTTTTTTAAGTGCCAATGCATATTAAGGAATCCACAATATGAAAGTATTAACAAATCTGCGTAAAATTTGTAAATTTTTTTAATACGTAAAAATACCTTGGATTGGACCAATATTTATTATTGTTCATATCCATTGGTTTGAATACGAGTATTTACTCCAGAGATTCTAGGTTTGATTTCTCTCTTCTTTAACAAAGATGGAAGATCTCTCAGTCCAATGCTCTACAAATGATGAAAAATCTCTCAACCAACAAACAAATCAATGAGATGAGGTTCAAATGAAGGGTGAATTTTCCGATACCAAGAAGGAAATTGAGGTTCTATCCCAAAACCAATTGGCAATAGGGGGACCCCAAATTTCTTCATGATATCAGAGTCGAGTGAGTCCACGTGTGAAAGCCTAACGGTCACACGTGCTCCACGTCACTTAATATGTGTTGTCCACGTAATAGGCTTGAAAATTCATCACAAATGCAGGAGCGTGTGAGAATGTGAAGGTAAAAAGCCTCACATTGGAAAGTTGAAAATAGAAAGTCTCATATAATAAATGGCTCAACAACTAATAAAGTTGAGGTCTTTTGTATAAAACCTCACACCTGCTAAACAAGTGGTTAAGTTGGGGACAATATCGATATTGCTAGTGGTGGGCCAAAGGTTCGTTTATCTGAAATCTTAACGTGGTATCAAAGTGCGCCGGTTGACTTGGCTCGATTTAATCAAAATCAAACAAAACCCCAAATTAAAATAATATATATATATATATATATAAGTGACCGATGTGAAATTGGTTGCATATGTGACCTACTAAAAAGTGATCTCATGTAAGATGGAGTGTTGAAGAATACACACAATTCCACATCAGAAACTTAACACATTTCTTTGCCCTCTTGTTTTATCTCATTTGGATCTCAAGTTACAAAAATTGTGTCTGCAGTTCTTGACAGGTCTTAACCAACCATCGTTTGAATTTCTGTTAATAGGTGGACAACGATCAAAGGGGCACGCATTGCTCAAAATCCCATGTTAGGATTTGGGGATGGCATTCACATCAAATTTGAAGAGAAGAAAAACTAAGATTATTTTGTCTTCATCTTGTTCAGATGTTATTCTTGAATATGCAGCAATAAAATTGTCTAATTGGAAAAACAAATATTTAGACTCGTATATTAAAGATTGGGAGCTTCCTGAGTTTGCAGAGTTTATTAAAGTAAACGATGATATTACGTAAAAGTATTAAAACCCTGTTCAACCTTTACCCAATGGACATATCTCTTAACATAGCCAGTCATACAATGACAACTGGCCAAATTTCAAAAGACTAAAGAGCCCTTAGGATCCTATCAAAAAACAGCAACATGTAGACTACTAAGCCTAGGTTTACTTTACGTCCTCAACTTCCTTATTATAATTATTGATCATGTGACTAATATGTGAAGTTATGAGAAAACATAACATAACATAACATAAAAAATAAAAAATAAAAGAATGTATGGAGATTTTATGCAAGCCCAAGAAAAGTGAAGAATAGTTCTCAGGGACCTGTTCCGGGTTCTTGCCTCGTTGCCATTCCTACTCAGCGAAATTCTATAATGAGGGGCTGCCAGTACACATGTATAATAGGCCAGCACCCTTGTACACATGTATAATACGCATTACATTGAATCACTTCGGCGCTGAGACGCTTACGGAAAAGTTACTCCCTCTAATAGAAAAAACGGTCGTCAAAACTCTAGCCTCCTGGTCAAGTCGCCTGTTGAAGTTAAACATGCTAGCTCAGTTGTAAAAATTTCAACCCAACTACTTAATCACTTATCTATTAGTTATTATGATCCACCGCGCTTATTGTATATACTAAAATTATCTTTTCTCGCCGTCGCAGATGCTCTTAAATTTTGGTGCCAAGCATATGATTGGTTATGATGCTGAAACATCATCTGATAACCTCTCTGATAAATTTTCTAGAATCATGAACAGTTTTTTGTCATTTCCCTTGAATGTTCCTGGCACAATATACCATAAAGGTTTAAAGGTAGTATTCAAAATGGTATGGTTATCAAAACATGCAAAATTTGTTTCAATTATTCAATCAGATACCATAAAGATATTTAAAGCTTTGGCACCTATTCAGGACCGCGATAAGATAACAACAATGCTGAGGGATATACTAAAGAAGAGACGCATATCGAGGAGATTTCCTTGACCAAATCAGCAGCGACATGGACAAACAGAAGTTCTTGTCCGAGGAATTTGTTGTTTATGTCGTATTTGGGACCTTGTTTGCTGGCTTTGAGCCTGTTTCATCAATAATGGCATTAGCTTTCAGTTTACTTGCAGAGCATCCTGCAGCTTTAAAAGAGTTGACTGTAAGTACACAAAGTTTAGGCATCAATTTAACATGTTCTTTAATTTTCTACCTAAGTCACAAATAATCAAATATCTTTTATCGTTAAGGCTGAGAATGAGGCACTTCTCAAAAACAGAGAAAATCCAAATTCCTCACTCACATGGGACGAATATAAATTGATGACTTTCACTCGTCAGGTAACTAGTTCTACAAAGTACACAAGCTCAACATGTAGTTTCTACTCGCACAATACTACGGAAAAAGTCTTATTAACTTGCTGGTCTTTGAAAATCATAGGTTGTCAATGAAACTCTTAAACTGGGAAATGTTGCACCTGCATTGCTACGCAGAGCTTTGAAAGATATCCCAGTAAATGGTACGTCCTTGGTTACGAATAGCTTAGGCCTTTAGTTTCTAACTGCAAATGTTTTGTTCACTAAAATGTTGAAGTACATGCTTTGCAGGATTTACAATTCCAGCAGGTTGGACGATTATGGCTCTCACCTCTGCACTTCTACTAAGTCCCAACACATTCATGGATCCCCTCGAGTTCAATCCGTGGCGTTGGAAGGTGCGTTTTAGTGGGGTGGAAGAGAGGGGTTTGGTGTTGTAAGTGTAACTTGAGAGTAATATTGCCATTTTTCCAAAATAAGCTTATTTTGTTTATGTGCAATATTTTATGGAAATTAGGACCTTGACTCCCTTGTTGTATCGAAGAACTTCATGCCATTTGGTCGAGGATCGAGACAATGCGCAGGGGCAGAGTATAGTAGGCTGTTCTTGGCCACCGTTCTCCATGTCTTGGTCACCAAATATAGGTACGTACACCATTCCCCTCTTATTTTCATCTCATTTACAAGTTACAAATCAACTGTGTGCCTACAAGGTTTTTGACAGAGCTTAATCATCTTTGGATTTTAACTTTTTGTTCATAGCTGGAAAACGATGACGCATTGCTCGGAAGAATATGTTAGGATTTGGGGCAAGCATTCACATTAAGCTCTCGGAGAAGAAAAACTGAGATAGTTTTCAAATTCTGTTTATGGGAAATGATCGAGCACTTGTCTTGATGTACCTATAATTAAAAATAACGTGCAATTAAGTTATGAATTAGCCCCAAAACAGGAAAATCTATATAATTAAGTTGGAATAATTGAGGGTTGTGCACTAAAAAGGCCTCCCAGTTATCAAATATTCACTACATGAGTTGTCCTAAATGAGTTGTTCTATCTGGTTGTTTGGGGATTCAGCCTCCTTGTTTATTTTGATTTAATAAATAACAAATTTTAAGTTTACCTTTTTTAACTGCCAATGCATATTAAGGAATCCACAATATAAAAGTATTAATAAAAGCTGCATAAAATTTGTAAATTTTTTTAATACGTAAAAATACCTTGGATTGGACCAATACATTTTGTTCATATTCATTCGTTTGAATACGAGTATTTACTCCAAAGGTCCTAGGTTTGATTTCTCTCTTCTTTAACAAAGATGGAAGATCTCTCCGACCAATACTCTGCAAATGATGAAAAATCTCTCAACTAACAAACAAATCAATGAGATGAAGATCAAAAGAGGGGTGAATTTTATGATATCATGAAGGAAGTTGAGGTTCCACCCAAAAACCAATGGTAATGGGAGGAACCTTAACTTGCTTCATGATATCAGAGCCAGGTTAGTTCACATGTGACAGCCTAACGGATACACGTGCTCCACGTCAGCCAATATGTCCATGTGATATGTTTGAAAATTTACCACACGTGCGGGGGCGTGTGAGAATGTAAAGGTAAAAAGTCATACATTGGAAAGTTTACTACTACAAAAATCGCAATAAACGACGGTAATCCACCGTTGTGTATCCGGTTTTTCAACCGTCGTGAAATCGATCGACATCTTTTGATGCATAAAACCACGACGGTAAATCCCCGTCGTCTATTATTTCTAAAGACGACGCTTTTACTCAAACCTGTCGCCTATTATATGTAATGACGACGGTTTTTTGAAAGAAATGTCGTCTATTAGATGTAAAGATGACGGTTTTTGAAAGAACTGTCGTCTATTATATGTAAAATTGTCAAGCGCGAATTCACTTAAGCAGCCTTTTTTTATCGTGTTTTAAAAGATGACGCTTGTTAGTGACAAGCATCGTCTTTTAAAAATCAAGTGGCCTTTTTTTTTGTTCAGCGTGTTTTAAAAGACAACATTTGTTGTGTTTTAAAAGACGACACTTGTTAGTGACAAGCGTCGTCTTTTAAAAATCAATCTAACACTAGTAGTGTATAAGATGATATATCATTACGGTTTTAAAAACATCGTCGTCTTTTGAAACATAACGACAGTTTTAAGATGCACCGTCGTTTATTTTGTGTCATGGTTTAACTATTTTGTAGTAGTGGTTGAAAATAAAAAGTCCATATAATGAATGGCTTCACTCCTAATAAAATCGATGTCTTTTGTATAAAACTCCACACCTGCAAAACAGGTGGTTAAGTTGGGGACAATATCAATGTTGCTGGTAGTGGGGCAAGAGTCCATCTCTCTAAAATCTTAACATTGTATCAAAGCGGCCCGGTTGACTTGGCCCGATTTAACCCAAGTCAAACAAAACCCCAAATTAAAATAATTTAAATATATAAAAAAGTGACTGATGTGGAATTGGTTGCATGTGTTGCCCACTAAAAAGTGATCTCACGTGAGGAGGAGTGTTGAAGAATACACATAGTTCTACATCAGAAACTTAACATGTTTCTTTGCCCTCTTGTTTTATCTCATTTGGATCTCAAGTTACAAAAATTGTGTTTGCAGTTCTTCACATATCTTAACCAACCATCGTTTGAATTTCTGTTAATAGGTGGACAGCGATCAAGGGAAAAGCCAAAAACAAATATTTAGATTTATCTTATTGAAACTTGAATCTAGGGTTTCAAATAATTCCTCAAAGATTGGGAGCTTCATGAATTTGCAGAGTTTATAATAGAAAACGATGATAATATGTCATGAAATTTCCCATATATTGCGTAAAAGTGTTAAAACCCTGTTCAACCTTTACCCAATGCACATATCTCTTAACATAACCAGTAATACAATGACAACTGGCCAAATTACAAAAGACTAAAGAGCCCTCAGTATCCTATCAAAAAACAGCAACATGTAGTGTAGACATAGACTACTAAGCCTAGGTTCACTTTACGTCCTCAACTTCCTTATTATGATAATTGATCATGTGACTAATATGTGAAGTCATGAGAAAATAAAACATAACATAAAATAAAATAAAGGATGTATGGAGATTTTATGCAAGCCCAAGAAAAGTGAAGAATAGTTCTCGGGTACTTGTTCCGGGTTCATGCCTCGTTGTCATCCCTACTCTGCGAAATTCTGTAATGAGGGCTGTTAGTACACATGTAAGGGTCATATATCGCGACACTCAACATAAAACGACTCTCCCTACTCGAACCCAGCCTCCTCGAGCCATTCGTTGAAGGCCCACGAACAGTTGGGCAGGTTGTTGTGAAATATACAGTAAATTAAGCTGGCAACTAAAAGTTAGAATTTAACTTAATGGATCATCTGTTGGGCATTAGAGAATTGACTTAATGGGCCAGCCCCATTGTACAAAAAGTACCAAGATTAACAGTAGCTCTGGGATTTTAAAAACAGGTTTTCCCCACTTTTCAACACCACTCTGTCTGGAGATAAGTTCTCATATTGAGGCCATGTGTAAGTCTGGCAGACAAAATTAAATTCTATCGGGCCGTCCATTTGACCGAAGCCATTACTATTTTGGTATTATCATGAGCCTGTCTGCCACGTTATGTTTTTCTAAATCTGAATGGCGGACACGAACCATCATATTATCATCATCATCATTTTCTTAGGACTCGTTTGAGAGTGAATTTGAATAGGCTAAAAAACACTTATATGGAGAATTACTTCTCCATATAATCACTTTAAATGATTTTAAGTGATTTTATAAAGAAGTACATGGGAGCTGCTTCTTCCTATAATCACGTAAAATCACTTAAAATGATTATATGAAGAAGCACATGGGAGATGCTTCTTCCTAGAAGTGATTCTGGCCTATTCAGAATCACTCCCAAACGAGCCTTTTTAACCCTCAAAAAAGATAATATTTCTTAATTAGTTTAAGTTTTTTTTTAGAGAGTACCAATATAAGCATGTACAGCATAGTCAACAACATATGCCAAATTTTTTGTTTTTTTTTTCCAAGGCCAGATATGTTAAGCAAAGTGCAATCTCATCGGAATCTTTTCAGGTGACATAAAAACATCAGTTAATTGCAAATTGAATGAAGAAAGTTGATCAAGATATAGTGTACTCGTTTTTTACATTCAAGTTCGGTTTTTCTTTCCGTATATTATATAGTTTAAAAATTGGTTAATTGAACATATATTTTTCATAGTCAAATCTAAGGATGGGTTTGAAAATTCGAACATACCAAAGGTTAATTAACCATCTTCCGAAGTTTACTTCCACTTTTTTAATTCCAGCTAACCTTTTGAATTTTTGGAATAGGACAAGACCTAATATTCATCTCATGCATATGAAATTATATGTCCCATCTTGTTCTGTTGTCCTTTGGGGTTTACTACCTTTTTCAATTGAAAAAAAATAAAATAAAATTATGTCGCATCATAATAAGATCTCAAGTCAAAAGACTTATATGATTTGATGAGAATAAAAAAAAAGTAAGCACAGAAATACATGTGTGAATAGTTGGATCCATTAAAAACTTTATGATATGATTTTTTCTTTTTGGTAGCACATCATGTGTGCATCTACCATTGTTTTCTTTCTAGTTTTAATATTATCGTTCTGAATTTCGAGCCTTTATATTTAGAGATTGTACATTACTTGTATTTTGTAATATTTGAACCATTCTATTAATATATCCGTTTAAAACATGACACATCAACAACTTAAGTATTAAATTCTTTTTCTTCTTCTTTTTTTTCATAAAAAGAAGTGTTTAAAGTTAACAAGTCTTTTATTGTTTAAATAAAAAATAAAGTAAAAATCCACGAAAATTATCCATAACCTTCAAAGTACGTGAAAAAGTGTTATATGGAAGATCAAAATGGAATATCCTTTGAATAAACAGGACTCATCGCCCCTTCTCAATATAATCAATTTACCAAAAAAATATATCCCTACATTCAACAATTTGGAGAACCAGTTTGAATTGTATTTTGCATTTGTATTGACACCTACTTATTTCATGGTTGTTGGGGTAGATCTGTGATAGAGACAGGACAAAGAGAAATGGTGGCCTGGGTGGCAGGGATAAGTGGCCATTATAGGAGCTGGAACTAGTGGCCTTCTTGCCTGCAAGTACACACTTTCAAAGGGCTTTCAGCCCATTGTGTTTGAATCTGCAAGCACCATTGGAGGAGTTCGGACCAAAACTATTGAGACCACCAAGCTCCAAACTCCTAGAGAAGCTTACCGATTCTCAGATTTCCCACGGCCATCTTCTGTGACAGAGGACTTCCTTAACCAACATCAGGTTTTGGATTACATCCAATTATATGCTCACCATTTTGACTTGCTCAAGCATATCAAATTCAACACCAAAGTTTGTGGGATTGAGTATGAAGGCTCCTCTGAGGATGAGATGCAAGCTTGGAGCTTGTGGGGTGGCTCTGGAGAGCCTTTCAGCTCCAAAGGGAAATGGAAAGTTGTAGTAGAAGACAAACAAAGCCTTTCAACTGAGGTACAAGTATAATATGTACAATCGAGTTTATATTTTATTATGTTATGTTGTTAGACTGTCAATAAAAAAAGTGGAGTTTGATATATCAAGTTACCTGCCTAGTTCAGTCAAGATGTTCTTTTCTTTGCCTTGCAGATATGGACCAATATTTCGGACTAGTTTGGCGGATAGACAGGTTGTAATCACAGCTGATCCTGAGTTCAATAACTACATATTTCAGCAAGAAGGGAGGATGGTGGAACTGTGGTACTTAGACACGTTTTCAAAGATCTTCGTCCATGAAGGCTAATCTAAGACGAACGCAGTTGGTATGGTTCACAAGTATCTAAGGAGCATTTTCTTGAATCATTTTGGTGCTGAGAGGCTTTAGGAGAAGCTACTCCCTCAAATAGAAGAATTCGTCAACAAAAGTCTATGTGCTGGAGACAAAGAAATTTTGGCGCAATAAATTACATTGGATAAGAAAATAATTAGGGTTCGGTGGATTGAATTGTGGGCCCCATAATTTGCCCATGTGGCGTATAACTCACCAAAATCAGATTAGCTGTCAAAAGTGACACCTGTCAACATCCGACGAAGTGCATCAAACAGTTTAAAGTGAAGACAAAATTAAAGGAAAGAATCTTCTGTGATTGACTTTGATTTAAATCAAATATTAATCAATCGAAGATAATTTGATTAAATTGCCAGATTTTTTGGAATTGATTTTAAATCAAATCAGAATTCCACAAAGAAAGGTTTTAAAGAGGGAAAGTTATTTATGTCAAGCATCCTACAAGAGCCTATAAATAGGAGGCCTCAAGATGAGAAAAGGGGCTTAGACGGACCAAGCATTGAGAAGAAACAGAAAACTCTTTGCATTCTTCACCTCACCTTGGAAGAGCCACCAAGCACAACAAATACATGCCGGTTCCTCCACCCTAGAAAAAATCCAAACACCCAAACAAGCCTTGTGCTACCCGTTTGATCAAGATCAAGTCTCTACGACCCTTGTATCAAACACAAATTTTCTTTAAACACTTCGGAGATCGAATCAGAGGATTCAATACATAGATTGTAACCCTAAATTTCATAAATACAAATATTATTTTGTACACGTATTCTTGTCTCATTTGTCACAGGAAATTCGTATTTACAACCTGGTCAAGTAAGGCCTCTGTTGAAGTGGAGCATGCAGGCTCAGTTGTAAATTTCAACCCCACTTAAATCTTAATCACTTATTTTCTTTTTCAGTACTGCTTTTTCTGCTGCTGTTCTTGTCATACTTAACATAACTTTTCTCGCCATTGCAGATGGTTTTTAATTTTAGCGCGAAGCAGATGATCAGTTATGATGCAGAAAAATCATCTGATGACCTGAGTGAGAAATATACTAAAATCATAGACGGTCTTATGTCCTTTCCCTTGAACATTCCTGGTACAGCCTACTATAATTGTTCGAAGGTGATATTCAAATTTGTCTCCTTCGAATGAGATTTTACAAAAATTTAACGTCTTGGTATTCATTCAGCACCAAAAGAACGTCAACAACCATGTTGAGGGATATGCTAAAGGAGAGACGGATTTCACCTGAGATGCAGAGAGGAGATTTCCTTGATCAAATCAACATTGACATGGAAAAGGAGAAATTTTTGTCAGAGGATTTTTCAGTTCAGCTGGTATTTGGGGGCTTGTTTGCCACCTTTGAGTCTATTTCTGCAGTAATAGCATTAGCTTTCAGTTTACTGGCAGAGCATCCTTCAGTTGTACAAGAGTTGACGGTACGTAAACAAAATTTGAGCTTCAATTTCATTTTCATAACTCCTCTGTTTAAGACCCTAATGATCAATTATCTTTTATGGTCAGGCTGAGCATGAGGCAATTCTCAAAAACAGGGAAAATCCAAATTCCTCACTCACATGGGACGAATATAAATCCATGACTTTCACTCTTCAGGTTTGTTCCCAAATCTCAACAAGCATTTCCTTCTTCCTTGCACAACAGCTTAGAAAAAGACTTATAATTTGCTGGTCTTCGGAAAACATATAGGTTATCAATGAAATTCTTAGGCTGGGAAGTGTTGCCCCTGGCTTATTACGTAGAGCTTTGAAAGATATCCCAGTAAAGGGTAAGTCCTCAATTACAAATAGCTTAATTAGGCCTTTTGTTTCTAACAGCAAATGGATTCTTACTAAAATGTTTCCGGTAAATGCTTTGCAGGATTTACAATTCCAGAAGGCTGGACCATTATGGTTGTCACCTCTGCACTTCAGTTAAGTCCCAACACATTCGAGGATCCCCTCGAGTTCAATCCATGGCGTTGGAAGGTTCGTGTCTCGGGGACGGACTGAGTGTCATTGTTGTTTGTTCAAATGACGTCAATTTTTAGCAGCTAATTTTACTTTATATTTATTTGATGAAATTTAGGACCTTGACTCATATGCTGTGTCCAAGAACTTCATGCCTTTTGGTGGAGGAATGAGGCAATGTGCAGGGGCAGAGTATAGTAGGGTTTTCTTGGCCACCTTTCTCCATGTCTTGGTCACCAAATATAGGTACATTTCTTTTCTCTCACCACAAGTTACGAATCTACTGTGTGTTTTACAAGGTTTTTATCAGAGCTAGTCATCTTTGTCCAAAAAAAAATGAAGCTAAGTCATCTATTGAATCTCTGTTCATAGGTGGACAACAATCAAAGCGGCATGCATTGCTCGAAACCCTATTTTAGGATTTGGGGATGGAATTCACATAAAGTTCGAGGAGAAGAAAACCTGAGATGAATTTTTTTTTTTTCCTCCTAAATTGATCGAACACTTAGGTGCTACCTATATAATCAAATTGAGTGTTCATGTTATTAACAACAAAGACGTACACATGCAAGGGGGTGTAGCTCAAGTGGTGAAGAGCATTTACTCATGCATTCGAGGTCTTAGGTTTCAAATCCTCCTACCCAATGGTGGATCTAGGAATTTTTATAGGGGTGGGCTAATTTTTGTTTTTTTGTTTTTTGGTGATATCTATTATAATGGTGATTATGTTTTTTCTAGTGGTTATGGTTAACCATCATCATATAAGAATCTCAGAGAAATTGAAAAGTTCAGAAATTTAGTAAAGGCTTCTTGCCTAAATTCAGAACAGAGCTTCAAAAAGTAGAAATTGAAAGAAAGATATGAGAAATTGTAGAAGTATCGAGATGAGCTCTAATACCATCATAACAATATGGATTGAGCAGAAGAAAGATTATAGCATAAAAAGAATTACAGAGAAAAAAACCAAAACCTCATGCTTATATTTGTATCTTTAATCTCCTTAAAAAAAAAAAAAAAAAAATAAGAAAACATTTATGAAATAGCACACAGATTGCAACAACGAAAGAGGACAAAAGGACAGGAAGGAGGAGGAAAAATATCATTTACCTTTATAATAAACAATCCATTATATTACATTTATGGAGCACGTGGGGCCGTACTTTGAGAGGTTGTGAGGCCATATGGAGTACATATCAACAACATTTATTATATTAAAAAGTATTTATCTTTATTATAAAAATGCAATACATGAGTTCTAAAGTTACATCACATGGATTCCAATCAATCTAACGGCTGGGATTATACAAGGGTGGGCTTATGTCTACATAGAGGTGTAGGCTAATATTTGATTCACCTAGTTTGGGCTTGGACTACTTAGCCTAAGTTGTATATTCTAAAAACTCAACATTGGGCTAGAGCCCACTCCAGCCCACACTTAGATCCGCTTGTGCTCCTATTCTGACGATCGGTTATATCAAAAAATAAAAATAAAAACCATACACATTACTTTGTGTATTACCTACATATGGCTATGAGGTTTTTATTTTTGAAGGAGGGTTTTGTTAATGAGTTTTTTTTTTTTTTTTTTTTTTTTTTTTTTTGTAAATAAAATTGTAGTTAATTATTAGTAAATAAAAAAAAAAGAAAAAGATTTTGAAAAATTGAAGAGCCCCAATCTTAGGGCCAGTTTGACATTGTTGTGTTGTGAAAATAATTGTTGTCAGATTTGCTGTGAGAGAAATCAACTATGAGAGAAAGCTGTTTGGTGTTTGGTACATTTTTTGTTAAAAGTGTTGTTGGTACTAATTCCCGCATAATCATTAAACATAGTGCCTCTTTGAAACTGATTCATGCATAATCAAAAAATGAAAGCACCTCATTAGCTGCTTGCCCTTATAGCTTTCTCTCATAGCAATTTTAAAAATAAGTGATTTTCTCATAGTTTACCAAACGGGTTGGGTTTTCTAAATTTTTTTAAAAATCACTTATTAACCCAAATAAGTAATGCCAAACAGGCACTTAAAAGTTTGAAACGGACTAAATCATAATTTCATTTTAACAAGCAGCGTTGGGAACATGTGGCATTAATGTAATTTTTGTGATCCTTAATGTGAAGAAATTTTGGGCCTTATGTTTGCTTGAAAAAATGGGGACCAATTTAAAATAAACAGCTAGTCTTCCTACATATTAAATAGAATTTTAATTTGAATGCCTCTGCTAAGTTTTAATGTACCTAAGTATGATTCGTTTTATAGTAAATTTGGCTTACATCCTTTAAATTCAATTTGTCGTACCTACAACCCTTTACTTTTTGTTCCTATAAATAATACCCAATTTGTATAAGTAAAAACCCATGACTAGAATTCAACTCAACAAGTTACCTAATTAAGCATAAAATCTGATTTATTATACTTTTTAGATTCCAAAATACCCCGAACTAAGCCATTACGGGGTATCTAAGTATGATTTTTAATACACCAAAATAGATTTTTTTGGCGGGGTATTAGTTGGATTGGCCTAAATATTTGGTGTGCTCCCAAGTGGTCCTGAATTCAAGTCTGAAATACCCGTGTGTATGAGTTTCCCCCCTCCATTCCCCTTCCTAACTTTGAACAAAAAATAAAATAAAAATTTAGCGTGCCTACGTAAATAGAATTTTGAATGCACTGAAATTTTAATACATTTGGACCTACAATCAACCACCAACTAATGGCGGCGCCCTCCTAATACTTCAATACTGTCACCCATAGAGAAGACAACTTATTTTCCTTGTTTTGTTTCTGATTAGTGAGCATAGAAATTATGAAACTTAAGCGAAAAAAAGGCTCATACATACGTCCTTCAAAGAAGAAAAATTGAGAGAGTTATCCTGTTTCCCTAATAAAATAAAAAATAAAAAATAAAGGGAAATAACTGGACATTTCGTACCTATGATACAACCGGAAAGTTCTTGACAGAGGATTTTAAACTGCCGCTGATATCTGGGGGCTTATTTGCTACGTTTGAGTCTATTTCACCAGTACTGGTTTTAGCTTTCAGTTTACTAGAAAAGCATTCTTCAGTTTTGCAGGAGTTAACTGTACGTAGACAAATTTCGAGCATCGATTTAGTGACTAGAAACTACTAATTAACGACGATAATGGTGTTTCTTGAGCAATAAAATGGTCCGAATTTTCTTTTCTAAAAAAATAAAAAATTATTTCATATTGAGCTAGAATGCAAGAAGGCTACACCTCCCATTACCTAACTAAACATGAGGTTCTACCAAACTTATAATAGAATTACAAAATAAATCAGTGTTGATGAGTTGACTCTGTGGAGTGATTTACGTTTATACGCCGTGGTCCCATTGATTGATGAGCAAGATTAAAAATTTTGATGTACGTATATGGAACTCTAGAATACTTATCTAGATGCAATTCTAGAAACCTAACTTAAAATACCTAAATTGTGTTTTAATGACCCTAAATAAAATTAATGCTGCCACCTAAAAAAAGAGAGTAGAAACTTACTGCAACTAGATAGATTTTAACGTTAAGATACAAGCTTTTTAGGGTTAGGTAAGTAGATTTGGCACGCACAGAGACTTTAATACATTTAACACCAACAGCACCATCTCCAGTGATGGCCTCTTTTGCAGTGAGATATATGATATGTATATATAAAGAGAAGGGAGGTGAACAAACAAGACTACAATTCTTTCTCTGATCTGAAAATGTGGGCTGTTGTTGGATTGAGTTTAGTAGTTTTGCTAGTGACATACATTACTCACTGGATTACACAATGGAGAAATCCAAAGTGCAATGGGGTTCTCCCTCCAGGTTCTATGGGCTGGCCTCTCGTTGGAGAGACTCTCAATGCGATGACTCCGAGCTATTCCATTGATCTTCATCCTTTCTTTAAGAAGAGACTTCAAAAGTAAATAAACTATGCCTACTCAATTTACCATAACAAATTCTAGTTTCATTTCTCTCTTAAATTCTTCTCTGCCTTGCAGATATGGCCCGATATTTCGGACTAGTTTGGTTGGTAAACCAATTGTAGTCTCAGCCGATCCCAAATTCAATAGTTACCTATTTCAACAAGAAGGCAAGCTAGCTGAACTAGGGTTATTCGACTCATTTACCAAGATCTTCAAGATTTCTGGCGAGGCAAATGCAACCGGTAGTATCATTCACAAGTACTTAAGGAGCACTACATTGAATCACTTCGGCACTGAGACGCTTAAGGAAAAGTTGCTCCCTCTAATAGAAAAAGCGGCCGACAAAGCTCTAGCCTCCTGGTCAAGTCAGGCATCTGTTGAAGTTAAACATGCTAGCTCAGTTGTAAAAATTTCAACCCAACTACTTAAATCACTTATCTATTAGTTATTATTATCCACTGCGCTTATTGTTTATACTAAAATTATCTTTTCTCGCCGTCGCAGATGCTCTTCAATTTTGGTGCCAAGCATATGATTGGTTATGATGCTGAAACATCATCTGATAACCTCAGTGATAAATTTTCTAGTATCATGAATAGTCTTTTGTCATTTCCCTTGAATGTTCCTGGTACAGTATACCATAATTGTTTGAAGGTAGTATTCAAAATGGTTTGTTTATCAAAACATGCAAAATTTGTTTCAATTATTCAATCAGATACCATAAAGATATTTAAAACTTTGGTACCTATTCAGGACCGCGATAAGATAATAACAATGCTGAGGGATATGCTAAAGAAGAGACGCATGTCACCGGACACACATCGAGGAGATTTCCTTGATCAAATCAGCAGCGACATGGACAAAGAGAAGTTCTTGTCCGAGGAATCTGTTGCTTACGTTGTATTTGGGGTCTTGTTTGCTGGCTTTGAGCCTATTTCATCAGTAATGGCATTAGCTTTCAGTTTACTTGCAGAGCATCCGGCAGCTTTAAAAGAGTTGACTGTAAGTACACAAAGTTTAGGCATCAATTTAACATGTTCTTTAATTTTCTACATAAGTCACAAATAATCAAATATCTTTTATCGTTAAGGCTGAGAATGAGGCACTTCTCAAAAACAGAGAAAATCCAAATTCCTCACTCACATGGGACGAATATAAATCGATGACTTTCACTCGTCAGGTAATTAGTTCTACAAAGTACACAAGCTCAGCATGTTGTTTCTACTCACACAATACTGTGGAAAAAGTCTTATTAACTTGGCGGTCTTTGGAAAACATAGGTTGTCAATGAAACTCTTAGACTGGGAAATGTTACACCTGCATTGCTACGCAGAGCTGTGAAAGATATCCCAGTAAACGGTACGTCCTTGTTTACAAATAGCTTAAGCCTTTAGTTTCTAACTGCAAATATTTTTTTCACTAAAATGTTGAAGTACATGCTTTGCAGGATTTACAATTCCAGCAGGTTGGACGATTATGGCTCTCACCTCTGAACTTCAACTAAGTCCCAACACATTCAAGGATCCCCTCGAGTTCAATCCGTGGCGTTGGAAGGTGCGTTTTCGTTTGGAGGAAGAGAGGGCTTTATTGTTGTAACTTGAGAGTAATATTGCCATTTTTCCAAAAATAAGCTAATTTTGTTTATACACACATGTGTAAATATTTTATGGAAATTAGGACCTTGACTCCCTTGTTGTATCGAAGAACTTCATGCCGTTTGGTCGAGGATCGAGACAATGCGCAGGGGCAGAGTATAGTAGGGTGTTCTTGGCCACCTTTCTCCATGTCTTGGTCACCAATTATTTTTTATCTTCTCACCACAAGTTACAAATATACTGTGTGCCTATAAGGTTTTTGATAGAGCTTAATCATCTTTTGGATTTTAACTTTTTTGTTCATAGCTGGAAAACGATCAAAGCGGGACGCATTAATCGAAAGCATGTGTTAGGATTTGGGGCAAGCATTCACATTAAGCTCTCGGAGAAGAAAAACTGAAATACTTTTCAAATTCTGTTTATGGGAAATGATCGAGCACTTGTCTAGATGTACCTATAATTAAAAATAACATGCAATTAAGTTATGAATTAGCCCAAAAAAAGGAAAATCTATATAATTAAGTTGGAATAATTGAGGGTTTGTGCACTAAAAAGGCCTCACAGTTATCAAATATTAACTACATGAGTTGTTCTAAATGAGTTGTTCTATCTGGTTGTATGGGGATTCTGCCTCCTTGTTTCTTTTGATTTAATAAATAACCGATTTTAAGTTTACCTTTTTTAACTGCCAATGCATATTAAGGAATCCACAATATGAAAGTATTAACAAATCTGCGTAAAATTTGTAAATTTTTTTAATACGTAAAAATACCTTGGATTGGACCAATATTATTATTGTTCATATTTATTGGTTTGAATACGAGCATTTACTCCAAAGGTCCTAGGTTTGATTTCTCTTTTCTCTAACAAAAATGGAAGATCTCTCATACCAATACTCTCACTACTACATTTTACACTTTGCGTGACGAAGAGAATTTCATCGCGCAAAATACATTGTAGTCGCACAAATTTTAGCGCAACAGAAACTTCGTCGCGCAAAGATCGTGAAGAAAGACTTTGCGCGCGAACACTGGAATATTGGTCGCGCAAAGTTTTGCGCGACGAATATTAGTATATTGGTCGCGCAAAAAAAAAAAAAAAAAAAAAAAACTCGTCCCATTTTTTGTACCCGCCCAAATTTTGAAATTTTTGCGCGACAAAAAATACATATTAGTCGCGCAAATTCTAAAAAAATTATATAATAAAATTCCCGCGTCCCATTTTTGGTACCCGGAAAATTTTTGCACGACGAAAAATATATATTGGTCGCGCAAAGTCTAAAATTTTTTTTATTTTAAAATCCCGCGTCCCATTTTTGGTACCCGCCCAAATTTTTAGAGTTTTGCGCGACGAATTGTTGGTCGCGCAAACTTTTGAGAGACGAAAAATTGGTTTGTAGCACGATATTTATAAAAATAATTGTTATGAATAATAAAAATAAAAATATTTTTTTTTACGATTTAAAATATAAATAAGGTTAAAGCTACTTAATAAATGTATATACCAATTTCTTAAGTGTTATACGTACAAAATAAATAAATTTAAAGCTACTTAATAAGTAAATATATATATACACACACCATTCAACGATCCAACCGTCAGACTTGTGTGTATATACTTCAAGATCGTATACCCCAAAAATCGCAAAAAACAAACATTCGGAGACCCAGTAACGGGACAAAAAATTTCAACGGTTCTAAATGAAAAATCACGATTTGACGGTTATTTTAACTCCGATTTTGATGATTTTTTACAGCTACACTCCTTGACCTTATATGAATACATTGAACTAATTTGATCATCAATTTAAAATATTTACACTAGTGGATACCACAAAATCTTATGTTATATTTAACAAAAGTATAAATAAACTCTTAATTGTTAGTGAATATATTATTTTGATGGCATACGCATTCGATGAAACTAGTTTGAACGATCCAACCGTCAAACTTGTTTGTTTATACTTTCAGATCGTATACGCCAAAAATCGGAAAAAATAAACATTCAGAGATCAAAAAACGGGACAAAACTTTTCGACGGTTATAAATGAAAAATCATGATTTAACGGTTATTTTAACTCCGATTTTAATGATTTTTTACCGCTCCACTCCTTTGCCCTATATGAATACAATGACTGAATTTGATCTTCAATTTAGAATATTTACACTAGTGGATACCACAAAATCTTATGTTATATTTAACAAAAGTATAAATAAACTCTTAATTGTTAGTGAATATATTGTTTTGATGACATACGCATTCTTCGAAACTAGTTTGAACGATCCAACCGTCAAACTTGTTTGTTTATACTTTCAGATCATATATGCCAAAAATCGGAAAAAATAAACATTCAGAGATCAAGTAATGGGACAAAACTTTTCGACGGTTATAAATGAAAAATCATGATTTAACGGTTATTTTAACTCTGATTTTGATGATTTTTTACCGCTATACTCCTTTACCCTATATGAATACAATGACTGAATTTGATCTTCAATTTAGAATATTTACACTAGTGGATACCACAAAATCTTATGTTATATTTAACAAAAGTATAAATAAACTCTTAATTGTTAGTGAATATATTGTTTTGATGACATACGCATTCTACGAAACTAGTTTGAATGATCCCACCGTCAAACTTGTTTGTTTATACTTCGAGATCACATATGCCAAAAATTGGAAAAAATAAACATTCAGAGATCAAGTAATGGGACATAACTTTTCGACGGTTATAAATGAAAAATCACGATTTAACGGTTATTTTAACTCCGATTTTGATGATTTTTTTATAGCTACACTCTTCGACCCTATATGAATACAATGAACTAATTCGATCGTCAATTTAAAAAATATATTTTCTAACAAAAACCCAATCCAAACAACAATAATATATTTTTCTAACAAAGATTTTAAAAAATAATTTTTTAATTTTATTTATTTTATAAGGACTTTGCGCGACGAAGTTTTGTTGTTTCGTCGCTCAAAGTAGCTTTGCGCGACGAATTGATTTTCGTCGCGCAAAGTAGCTTTGAGCGACTAATTGTTTTTTGTCGCGCAAAGGCTCTTTGCGCGACGAATTTTTTTTCGTCGCACAAAATTTGGTTGTGCAAGACTTTGCGCAACGACGTATTGTTGTCGCGCAAAGTCACTTTGAGCGACGAATTATTTTTTGTCGCGCAAAAGTTGGTCGCACAAGGTTTTTAGTGACGAAGTTTTTATTTTCGTCGCGCAAAGTGACTTTGAGCGACGAATAATTTTCCGTCGCACAAGGGTTATTTTGTAGTAGTGTCTACAAATGATGAATAATCTCTCAACCGACAAACAAATCGATGGGATGAAGATCAAAAGAAGGGTGAATTTTCCGATACCATGAAGGAAATTGAGGTTCTACCCCAAAACCAATTGGCAATGGAGGGAACCTCAACTTCCTTCATGATATCATAACCAGGTTAGTCCACGTGTGAAAACTTAATGGTCACACGTGCTCCACGTCACCCAATATATGTTGTCCACGTGATAGGCTTGAAAATTCATCGCACATGTGGGAGCGTGTAAGAATGTGAAGGTAAAAAGCCTTACATTAGAAAGTTGAAAATAGAAATTCCCATGTAATGAATGGCTCTACTCCTAATAAAGTCGAGGTTTTTTCTATAAAACCTCACACCTCTAAATAGGTGGTTAAGTTGGTGTAACATCCCAACCCAATTTTTAACCATTTATTTAATCTATTTAAATTATTTAATTTAGGCTTATTTATGTACATGTCCCCATGTGCTTTCAAACTTGTCTCAGATTACCACATGGGCTTTGAAACGTCTCAAAATACCCCCCACACTTTTAAAAACGGTCTCATGTTACCCATTCAGTCAGTATTATAGACGTTCTGTTATGTGCTTTGGGCCCCACTTCGTTTCAATCCTTAACATTAGAGAATAAGGATTTTTCTATTTCAGAAAAAGGGAAAGGGGTATTTGGGTGAGAAGGGGAAATTTGGATAAGAAAGCTAGGTCTTCTCAAAATCTGAGGTGGGGTTCGAATTTTGGGAGAATGTGGAGAAGAAATTGCGGGTTTATAAAACTCTGAGGTGGAGTTCAAAATTAGGAGATTTTGGAGTAGAAGATTAGGGTTTATGAATCTCTGAGTGGAGTTCGAATTTGGGAAAGGGGGAAGGGGGTCACACGATTTGGGAGAAAATGGGGAAGTGGGATTTCAAATTTGGAGGTTCAGCTGGTTCTTCTCTGTGTGAATACTGACTGAATTGAAGAAGAGATGGAAATAGGAGAAGCAAGGCATGCCTAATGGTGTCATTGTGGGAAGTTAGCACGGATGTAGACTTCGTGGACCACTTCAAACCCAGGGCAGAGATTTCTAGTCTGCCCAAAGTCAAAGGTAAGAATGTCTAAGATCAAATTTTCAGTCATTGTTTTGGGCTTCACAAATTGATAGAGTTCTTATTGACAAATTTTTCAGTTATTGATGAAATTGATGAAATTTTCAATCATTGATCAAATTTTCAGTCATTGTTCTTAGTTGATACAGGGAATGGGTGAAAAAGGATGTAGGTTTTTTCAATGGTTTGATGCATAAATGTGTGAACGTTCAAAGTCTTTGATACCTGGTTTGTTGAGGAAGATTGATAGGGTGGAGAAGGAAAATGCAAAGATTCGAGCAAAGTCAAAAATATTGTGGGCTGCTATGTTGCTTTCCTGGTTGGTGGTGTTTGGCATGAAGATGAATTATGAGGAATTATGAGGAATTATGTTTTGTAATTTGGTGGGTGTAATGTGATTGAGAAGCAGTAGTTCAGTGGGCAATGTAATTTGAGAACAAATGCTAATGTAATGTAGCAATAGTTCAGTTGGTGTAATGTAATGTAATTTGAGAACAAATGCTAATGTAATGTAGCAATAGTTCAGTTGGTGTAATGTAATGTAATTTGGTGGGAAAACAATGGAAACTTGTTTAGAGGTTACAAATGGTGACATACTTATAAGCGTCATACCAAAAACATGTTACAACCATATCTTGTTCATTGGATATCAAAAACAGGTTACATAAACAAGTTATAAGCATATCTTGTTCATTGGATACTAAAACCAGGTTACAAAAACAAGTTATAAGCATATCTTGTTCATTGGATACCAAAAACAGGTTACAAAAACAAGTTATTCATAAGCATATCTTGTTTATGTCATATCAAATGGTTGCATCTCAATACTTGATCAATATAAGCACAACACCAAAACAGGTTCCAACCGTCACATTACATATCAAATGGTCAATTACATCTAAGTACCTGACACAAAAACCTTGACAGACCTGAAAGCCTAATAAAACCAACCATCACAAACATCAATAATCCCACAAACCAACAACCCAATTGCAACCATAATTAAACTATTAAAGTCTTACAAAACTAACTAATTGCAGAATCTATAATTCCACAACATTCAAACCATTCAAAAATAGTTTATCCTAGTTCAAACACAGGTTGCAAAAGTTGAACATCATCACATCTAAGGATGAAAAAAAAATCTTTGACAAAATGGCTTATCTGTTGATCTTTCATCCTCCTCCTACATTGTTGTACTCGAGATAGTTTGGCAGATTGAGATGAATCACAGGTTTGAGAAGCATGAGCTGCTTGAGATGTTTGGGATTGAGAAGCATGAGCTGCTTCAGATGGTTGGGATTGAGAAGCTTGGGCTACTTCAGATGCTTGGGATTGAGAAGGCCCTTGGGAACCACTTGCTTGTTTCATTTGCCTTAGTTGCATACTTTGTTGTCCGATACTTTGGTCTCCACCATCTCTCCTTTTTAACTAAAACAAATATTAATTAGGTAGGCATGATATGAAAATTTGAAATGTGAAAACATAGTTGAAACCGCAGCACTTACTAGAAGTTTTTCCTTGGCAACTTTCCTCTTCCTAGTAGTTATGTTGGGATTTCTAGGTTCCTAATAAGCAAAGTCATCAGGTCAGAAACCAAATCAAATAGATTTAAATGTAAAGAAATTTTGGATAATGACACATACCTTACAACTAATTTGATTATACCCTTCTCCACTGCAATTGCCACACTTTAGAGGGATGCCATACCTAGGAAGCTTATATGGATTAGCAGGTTGTTTGGGCTCATCAAAAGCTTGTTTTCTTGTCTTCTTAGGCCTACCAGGCTGCTTGTGGTATTTTGGAGGGAGTAATGGAGGTAAATTAATCTTCATCCACTTATCTTGGCTAGTCGTAGGCATAATCATTGGTTCATAGGCTCTCAAATAAGCCTCTTTCTTGTACACTGCATTACAAAAGTTCTCTGGATTCCCATGAAACCAACTTTGCTGTTGATTTGAATGTCCACTCTTGTTCATGCCATGCCTGGGATTTGAATGGAATATGGTTTATTTATTTATTTATTTTCCTCCAAACACTAATAGTAATTTCCCAAACGTTAGCAACAAATTATAGAAATATAAATGTACCAACAATATTTAATGCAACTGACATGAAAGCTTTAAACTGCATCTATCCATAACAAATCGTAATTTTCAATTTGAAAATCCAATACAAATACAAAAGTTTCAGTCAAAAAGTTATAAGGTATTAAAGCAATAGCAATACGGGAAGAAAACGACTTTAACATACAAAGGCTTTAGATTGTTATAAAAAAAATATAGTTTTCCTCTTCCGTAAAGCCAAATACAAAAACCTTTATATTATAAATAACATATAAATAAATTGAAAAGCTTTTAAGGTATAATGAAATTGAAGAAAACAAAATAATAGGTAAGTAAAAGGAAAATTAATAACAAGTAAGAAGGTGAGTTTGGTACGGTGAAGCACATCAAAGACGCTGTCTTAAAGCCTTTGTAGCCTCCCTACGTGCAGGTACTGGCAGTCTAGAAGACTCCAAGATATGATCCCTTGTACACAAACTCAAGATCCGCTATGAGCCCGTTTATAGACGGATGTAAGTATCCAAGTCACATAACCATTGCCCAAAATAATAATATAAAGTAGATAATATATATATAAGTAGAAAATGAGAGAATTAGTTTGTGGTGGCGATTTTGGTATGTGATATTTTGATAGTGTATTGTTGTTGTTCAAATGTAAAGGAGGAGTGGCCTTTTATAGGCATTCAATAACATGTAACCTTCACCAACGAGAAAACTTCACCAACCAGAAAATTAAGGCATTCAATATAGAAATAAAACCTGAATATTAAATATTTATAACCCCACAATAAATAAAATAAAACAGCCAAAATAATTAAATAAATAAAACAGTTAAATTTTTAAAACCTTTTTTAAATTCCAACAATCTTTTTAATCTCAGTTCATAGGTGGACAACAATCAAAGCGGCACACATTGCTCGAAACCCCATTTTAGGATTTGGGGATGGAATGCACATTAAGTTCGAGGAGAAGAAAACCTGAGATGAAATTTTTTTTTTCTCCTAAATTGATCGAACACTTAGATGCTAGGCCCATATATACATATAATCAAATTTAGTGTGTCATGTTATTATAACAACAAAAACATACACATGTAAGGGGGTGTAGCTCAAGTGGTGAAGAGCATTTACTCGTGCATTCGAGGTCTTAGGTTCAAATCCTCCTACCCAATGGTGGATCCAGCAATTTTTATAGGGGTGGGCTAAATTTTTTATTTTTTTTTATTTTTTGTGATATCTATTATAATGGTGGTTATGTTTTTTTCCCCATATAACAGTGGTTATGGTTAACCATCATCATATAAGCCAAGCTTTAGGAAGCAAAAGTAACTTAAAAGAACACAGAAGAATCTTAGAGAAATTGAAAAGTTCATAAATTTAGTAAAGGCTTCGTGCCTAAATTCAGAACGGAGCTTCAGAAAGTAGAAATTGAAAGAAAGATATGAGAAATTATAGAAGTATCGAGATGAGCTCTAATACCATCATAACAATAGGGATTGAGTAGAAGAAAGATTATAGCATAAACAGAATTATAGAGAAAAAACTAGAACCTCATGCTTATATTTGTAAATTGTATCTTTAATCTCCAGTAAACAATTTATAGGTTTTCATGAAAGAAAAAAATATATATAAAAAAACAATGAATTGCAACAAACACAAAATGTAGCAAGACAAAGAGGAAATTATCATTTACCTTTATAATAAACAATCCATTATATGACCTTTATGGAGCAAGTGGGGCTTGCTTTGGGAGGTTATGAGGCCAATAGGAGCACATATCAACAACATTTATTATATTAAAAAGTATTTATCTTTATTATAAAAATGCATCACACGAGCTCTAAAATTACATCACATGAATCTCAATCAATCTAACGGCTGGGATTATACAGAGGTGGGTTTATGTCTACATAGAGGTGTAGGCTAATATTTGATTTACCTAGTTTGGGCTTGGACAACTTAGGCTAAGTTGTATATTCTAAAAACTCAGCACTGGGCTGGAATTGGAGTGCACTTATGCTCTTACTCTGACGATCAGTTATATAAAAAAATAAAAAAAACCATACACATTACTTTGTGTATTACCTATTGGCATCTGAGGTTTTTATTTTTGAAGAGGTTGGCTTCTTAAGTTTTAAAAAAATTGTGTTAACAAAATCAGTTAATAAAAAGAAAAAGTTTTCGAAAAATTGAAGAACCCCAATCTTAAAAGTTTGAAACGGACTAAATTATAATTTCATTTTAACAAGCAGCGTTGGGAACATGTGGCGTTAATGTAATTTTTGTGATCCTTAATGTGAAGAAATTTTGGGCCTTTATGTTTGCTTAAAAAAATGGGGACCAATTTAAAATAAACAGCTAGAGTCTTCCTATACATTAAATAGAATTTTAATTTGAATGCCTCTGCTAAGTTTTAATGTACCTAAGTATGAATTTTTTTTTGACGGGGTATCTAAGTATGATTTTTAGGACATCAAAATAAATTTTTTTGGTGGAGTGTTAGTTGGATTGGCCCAAACATTTGGTGTGCTCCCAAGTGGTCCTGGATTCAATTCTGAGGTAACCATGTGTATGAGTTTCCTACCTCCATTCCCCTTCCTAACTTCGACCAAAACATAAAATAAAAATTTAGCGTGCCTAACGTCCTTCAAAGAAGAATAATTGAGAGATTTATCCTGTTTTCTTAATAAATAAAAAGAAAGGGAAATAACTGGACATTTCGTACCAATGATACAACCGAAAAGTTCTTGACGGAGGAGTTTGCACTGCCCCTGATATCTGGGGGCTTATTTGAGTCTATTTCGCCAGTACTGACTTTAGCTTTCAGTTTACGAAGACAAATTTCGTCCTGCAAAGCATTCTTCAGTTTTGCAGGAGTCGACTCTACGAAGACAAATTTCGAGCCTCAATTTAGTGACTAGAAACTCCTAATTAACGATGATGATGGTATTTCTTGAGCAATAAAATTGTCCTAATGATCTTTTCAAAAAAATAAAAAAATAAAAAAAAGTATTTCATATTGAGCTAGAATGCAAGAAGGCTACACCTCCCATTACCTAACTAAACATGAGGTTCTACCAAACTTATAATAGACTTACAAAATAAATCAGTGTTGATGAGTTGACTCTGTGGAGTGATTTACGTTTATACGCCGTGGTCCCATTGATTGATGAGCAAGATTAAAAATTTTGATGTACGTATATGGAACTCTAGAATACTTATCTAGATGGAATTCTAGAAACCTAACTTAAAATACCTAAATTGTGTTTTAATGACCCTAAATAAAATTAATGCTGCCACCTAAAAAAAGAGAGTAGAAACTTACTGCAACTAGATAGATTTTAACGTTAAGATAAAAGCTTTTTAGGGTTAGGTAAGTAGATTCGGCACGCACAGAGACTTTAATACATTTGATACCAACAGCACAATCTCCAGTGATGGCCTCTTTTGCAGTGAGATATATGATATATCTATAAAGAGAAGGGAGGTGAGCCACCAAGACTACAATTCTTTCTCTGATCTGAAAATGTGGGCTGTTGTTGGATTGAGTTTAGTAGTTTTACTAGTGACATACATTACTCACTGGATTACACAATGGAGAAATCCAAAATGCAATGGGGTTCTCCCTCCGGGTTCTATGGGCTGGCCTCTCGTTGGAGAGACTCTCAATGCAATGACTACGAGCTATTCCATTGATCTTCATCCTTTCTTTAAGGAGAGACTTCAAAAGTAAATAAACTATGCCTACTCAATTTACCATAACAAATTCTAGTTTCATTTCTCGCTTAAATTCTTCTCTGCCTTGCAGATATGGCCCGATATTTCGGACTAGTTTGGCTGGTAAACCAATTGTAGTCTCAGCCGATCCCAAATTCAATAGTTACCTATTTCAACAAGAAGGCAAGCTAGTTGAACTATGGTACTTGGACTCATTTACCAAGATCTTCAAGATTAGTGACGAGATAAATGCAGCCGCCGTTCACAAGTACATAAGGAGAGTTGCATTGAATCACTTGGGCGCTGAGACGCTTAAGGAAAAGTTGCTCCCTCTAATAGAAAAAAGGGTCGTCAAAACTCTAGCCTCCTGGTCAAGTCAGGCATCTGTTGAAGTTAAACAGGCTAGCTCAGTTGTAAAAATTTCAACCCAACTACTTAATCACTTATCTATTAGTTATTATGATCCACTGCGCTTATTGTTTTTATACTAAAATTATCTTTTCTCGCCGTCGCAGATGCTCTTCAATTTTGGTGCCGAGAATTTGATTGGTTATGATGCTGAAACATCATCTGATAACCTCAGTGATAAATTTTCTAAAATCTTGAACACTTTTTTGTCATTTCCCTTGAATGTTCCTGGTACAGCATACTATAATTGTTTGAAGGTAGTATTCAAAATGGTTTGTTTATCAAAACATGCAAAATTTGTTTCAATTATTCAATCAGATACCATAAAGATATTTAAAGCTTTGGTACCTATTCAGGACCGCGATATGATAATAACAATGCTGAAGGATATGCTAAAGAAGAGACGCATGTCACCGGACACACATCGAGGAGATTTCATTGACCAAATCAGCAGCGACATGGACAAAGAGAAGTTCTTGTCCGAGGATTTTGTTGTTTATGTCTTATTTGGGATGTTGTTTGCTGGCTTTCATCCTATTTCATCAATAATGGCATTAGCTTTCAGTGTACTTGCAGAGCATCCTGCAGCTCTAGAAGAGTTGACCGTAAGTACACAAAGTTTAGGCATCAATTTAACATGTTCTTTAATTTTCTACATAAGTCGCAAATAATCAAATATCTTTTATCGTCAAGGCTGAGAATGAGGCACTTCTCAAAAACAGAGAAAATCCAAATTCCTCACTCACATGGGACGAATATAAATCGATGACTTTCACTCATCAGGTAATTAGTTGTACAAAGTACACAAGCTCAGCATGTTTTTTCTACTCACACAATACTATGGAAAAAATCTTATTAACTTGCTGGTCTTTGGAAAACATAGATTGTCAATGAAACTCTTAGACTGGGAAATCTTGGACCTGCATTGTTCCGCAGAGCTTTGAAAGATATCCCAGTAAACGGTACGTCCTTGGTTACAAATAGCTTAGGCCTTTAGTTTCTAACTGCAAATGTTTTTTTCACTAAAATGTTGAAGTACATGCTTTGCAGGATTTACAATTCCAGCAGGTTGGACGATTATGGTTCTCACCTCTGCACTTCAACTAAGTCCCAACACATTCATGGATCCCCTCGAGTTCAATCCGTGGCGTTGGAAGGTGCGTTTTGGTGGGGAGGAAGAGAGGGATTTGGTGTTGTAACTTGAGAGTAATATTGCCATTTTTCCAAAATAAGCTAATTTTGTTTATACACACTTGTGTAAATATTTTATGGAAATTAGGACCTTGACTCCCTTGTTGTATCGAAGAACTTCATGCCGTTTGGTCGAGGATCGAGACAATGCGCAGGGGCAGAGTATAGTAGGGTGTTCTTGGCCACCTTTCTCCATGTCTTGGTCACCAAATATAGGTACGTATATTTCACCATTCCCCTCTTATTTTTTATCTTCTCACCACAAGCTACAAATATACTGTGTGCCTACAAGGTTTTTGATAGAGCTTAATCATCTTTTGGATTTTAACTTTTTTGTTCATAGCTGGAAAACGATCAAAGCGGGACGCATTACTCGAAAGCATGTGTTAGGATTTGGGTCAAGCATTCACATTAAGCTCTCGGAGAAGAAAAACTGAGATACTTTTCAAATTCTGTTTATGGGAAATGATCGAGCATGTACCTATAACTAAAAATAACGTGCAATTAAGTTATGAATTAGCCCAAAAACAGGAAAATCTATATAATTAAGTTGGAATAATTGAGGGTTGTGCACTAAAAAGGCCTCCCAGTTATCAAATATTCACTACATGAGTTGTTCTATCTGGTTGTTTGGGGATTCAGCCTCCTTGTTTCTTTTGATTTAATAAATAACAAATTTTAAGTTTACCTTTTTTAATTGCCAATGCATATTAAGGAATGGGAGCATTTTTGCCCACCACATTAACTAGAGGTGTATGCTCACCACTATCCTTAAAACATGACACCTGTCCCATAGTTAACCTTAGTTAAGTTTTATGTGAGAATTAAAAAAAAAAATTGAAAAATGGCCCACAGCCCAGCACTTCTCTCCTCCTTTCTTTTCTTTTCGTTTTTCCCTCACCTCCGACCCTTCTCTCTTCTCTCCTCTTGCCGGCACTCTCTCCCTCACTTTGTTTCTTGTTCAGCCCTTTCAATGTCCACAGCTAATCTAAGACTGGGTATGCAAAATGGCGTGTGGCTTGAGCATGGGATTGAAGAGCAAATTAAACAAACACAGAGTCTACCTTGATACCCATTACATGAACTTCATCTGGGTATATCTCTGTGCCAGGATTTTGAACACTTGTCCGTCCATTTGGGGTGGTCCTGAGGCACTTTTGGATTGATTTATACGACCCAAGCCATGTTTGAGCTTGTGAGCTGAAATGTGCTTGCAGGGTTTGGGTTTGTACATGAAGGTTTTCTAGTCGACATCGTTGACAGAGATTGAGAAAGGAAGCTCTGATTTGTTACAAATAAAAAATAAAAACCGTACTAACAAAAATGACAATAATAATAATAATAATAGATTAATGATAAATAATAAGATTGGCAAAGCAAGATCCAATATTCCAGTAAAGAAAGAGATGGAAGGATTTGTTTTGGAGGATGGTTACGGTGCGAGAGAGTGAGAAATACAGAGAGAGGAGAGAGAAAGGTCCCGTGTGGGGAGGAAAGTGTTAGGCTGTGGGCCATTTTTCAATTTTTTTTTTAATTCTCACATAAAACTTAACTAAGGTTAACTGTGGGACAGGTGTCATGTTTTAAGGGTAGTGGTGAGCATACACCTCTAGTTAATGTGGTGAGCAAAAATGCTCCCAGAAAGGAATCCACAATATGAAAGTATTCATAAAAGCTGCATAAAATTTGTAAATTTTTTTAATACGTAAAAATACCTTGGATTGGACCAATACATTTTGTTCATATTCATTCGTTTGAATACGAGTATTTACTCCAAAGGTCCTAGGATTGATTTCTCTCTTCTTTAACAAAGATAGAAAATCTCTCAGTATGCTCTACAAATGATGAAAAATTTCTCAACCAACAAACAAATTGATGAGATGAAGTTCAAATGAAGGGTGAATTTTCCGATACCATGAAGGAAATTGAGGTTCCACCTCAAAACTAATTGGCAATAGGAGGGAACCTCAACTTCCTTCATGATATCAAAGTTATACGAGTCCACGTGTGAAAGCCTAACGGTCACACATGCTCCACGTCACTCAATATGTGTTGTCCATGTAATAGGCTTGAAAATTCATCACACGTGCAGGAGCGTGTGAGAATGTGAAGGTAAAAAGCCTCACATTGGAAAGTTGAAAATAGAGAGTCCCATATAATAAATGGCTCCACTCCTAATAAAGTTGAGGTCTTTTGTATAAAACCCTACACCTGCTAAACAAGTGAGTAAGTTGTGGACAATATCGATTTTGCTAGTGGTGGGCCAAGGGTTCGTTTCTCTGAAATCTTAACATGGTATCAAAGCATGCCGGTTGACTTGGCCCGATTTAATCCAAATCAAACAAAACCCCAAATTAAAATTATGTAAAAAATATATAATAAATAAAAAAGTGACCGATGTGAAATTGATTGCACATGTGACCTATTAAAAAGTGATTCCACGTAAGATGGAGTGTTGAAGAATACACACAATTTCACATCAGAAACTTAACACATTTCTTTGCCCTCTTGTTTTATCTCATTTGGATCTCAAGTTACAAAAATTGTGTCTGCAGTTCTTGACAAGTCTAACCAACCATCGTTTGAATTTCTGTTAATAGGTGGACAACGATCAAAGGGGCACGCACTGCTCGAAATCCCATGTTAGGATTTGGGGATGGCATTCACATCAAATTTGAAGAGAAGAAAAACTGAGATTATTTTTTCTCCATCTTGTTCAGATGTTATTCTTGAATATGCAGCGATAAAATTGTCTAATTGGAAAAGCCAAAAACAAATATTTAGACTCATCTATCTTGTTGAAACTTGAATCCGACTCTAGGGTTTCAAATAATTCCTCAAACATTGGGAGCTTCATGAGTTTGCATAGTTTATTACAGTAAACGATGATAATACGTCATGAAATTTCCCATATATTGCGTAAAAGTGTTAAAACCCTGTTCAACCTTTACCCAATGACAACTGGCCAAATTTCAAAAGACTAAAGAGCCCATAGGATCCTATCAAAAAACAGCAACATGTAGTCTTACTAAGCCTAGGTTTACTTTACGTCCTCAACGTCCTTATTATGATAATTAATCATGTGACTAATATGTGAAGTTATGAGAAAACATAACATAACATAAAAAATAAAAAATAAAAGAATGCATGGAGATTTTATGCAAGCCCAAGAAAAGTGAAGAATAGTTCTCGGGGACTCGTTCCTGGTTCATGCCTCGTTGCCATTCCTACTCAGCGAAATTCTATAATGAAGGGCTGCCAGTACACATAAGAGCATGTCCAGCTCAAGACCCAAACCGGGGGAAAGGCCCCCTGGCCGAGCCCAAGCGCGCTCCAACTCGAGAGAAGAAGCCCGGACAAGAGCTGGGTCCCACCAGCCTGGGCAAGCCCAAGGGCAAGTTCCGCCTGGGCTTCAGCCCGAGTTTTGTGACGTTAGCGCTAACGTCACCCCTGACATCAGTGCACGGTAATTCAAATTTTTTTTACCGTTGGTGCGTGAATTACAAGCGCCGACGGTAAAAAAAATTGACTTCCGAGCGCTGACGTCACCCCTGACAGAATCCAACGGGCATTTGCCACGTGTCGCGACAAGGCCTCTCCGATTTTTTTTTTTTTTTTTTTTTTTAATCCAACAGTCATTGTTTTTTTGGCTAAAAAAATTAAAAAAAATTCTGAATTTTTGTTTAAAAAATACCAAAAAATTATGTATTTTTTCCCTATAAATACCTAACCATTTTATTTACTTTCCACACCAAATCTTCATACAATTTCTTCTCCATCCAATATTTTTCTCCACTCACATTATTCACTTTCCACACCTATTCTCCATACAAACTCTTCTCCTTCCAATATTTTTTACTCTCCACTCACATTTTTCACTTTCCACACCAATTCTCCATACAAACTCTTCTCCTTCCAATATTTTTTACTCTCCACTCACATTTTTCTACTACTTTCCATTTGTATAAAATAAAATAAAAAACAAATGGCATCTTCTGTCGAAGTCGGAGGCTCGTAGTCAACTTAGGAAGATATTGCGTTGTGTCAGTCTTAGGTGAACGTTAGTCATGACCCTATCACGGGTAATGAGATGAAGTTTCATCATATGTGGAGCAAAATTCATGGAGAATTTTGTCAAAAATCGGGTTCCATTCGGACCGAAATGACCTTGTCTAGTAGATGGAAACTTCTGAATAAAGAGTTAGGGAATGGAGAAATGCCTTGACAAAAGCAAGGGAGAACATTCGAAGCGGTCAAAATTTTACTGATGAGGTAAAATATTTATAGTTGCCATTTTAATCAATTTAATGTAACTTTTTTTTTCTTGCATATTCTATTTCTTTTTCTGGCATAATCTTTTTTTTTCTTTTTGCATTTCCAATTTGTCTATATTTTCTTGCATAACCAATTTTATTCTTGCATTTCAAAATAGTTTATATTTTATTGCACTTCCAATTATTTATTTTTAATAGATCATACAAGCACAAATGTGGTTCGGTGCCATGGGGCAAGGCAAAAAAAATTTCATGCATTTCCAATGTTGGGAAGTTGTGAAGGATTGTTCGAGATTCAAAATTATTCTCACCGATCCGCCGGTTGTGTTGAATGGGACGCTGCTCCACGAGTCGCCATCAACCGATTCGCCATTGGACTCCCCAATGGAAACGGAGTCACCATTCGTGCCACGTCCACCGAGACCTATTGGGAGAAAGGCGGCAAAGGCCAAGAGAGGGGGCACTTCGAACAATGAATGTGTACAATTATTGGAGCAAATAGCTAAGAACACCTCACTAAGAATTGAGAGAGACTTGAAAAGAGATGAAATGGACGTGGCACGAGAGGAAGCATTTGTTATTCAACAGCAGAAGGCACAATAAAAAGACATGGATGATAGAGAGATGAAAATCATGGTCATGGATACGAGCCATATGTCTCCTGAAACAAAGGCCTATTGCTAAGACGAATGGATGTGATGAGAAGAAAACTTTTCCATGATGACGGACCTAGCAATACGGATTGGTTAAATGATGAAAACCATTAGGTTGTATTGAAACACCTTTGCCATATGTTGTATTGTTGTATTATCCTTTCATTTGTTGTATTATCCTTTAATTTGTTGTATTGTTTCTTTTTTATTCAATAAAAAAAGCATTAAATAATATGACTATTTATTAAAAACAAACCTTAATTTATTGCAAACAACACACAAAACAAACCATACATAAAACCATAATAATAATAAAAAGCATAATTCCAAAAAACACAACACACAAAATAAAGCATAATTAAAAACAAAGCATAATTCCAAACAATGCACTAATCTTGACTTCATCCATTGTGATTGCCTTTCATCTCCCACAAGTGCTCGATCAAGTCAACTTGACGGATCTCGTGAACATACGAAGATTGCATTTCTTTATAACGATCAATCATGGAGTTGTTGAATTGACCATCCCGAAGTAATGGTTCGGGCTCCAATGGTAGTCCATTTGGTCCCATCGGCTTTTCATATATTCTTGTCAACGCCGTGTTCATGGGATCGGGTTCAAACACCTCTGGAGCATCATAGTCATACTTATCCTCCACAATCATGTTGTGGAGGATGATGCAAGTCATCATAATACTCCGCAGCACCTCCTCATCTAGCATTCGAGCAGCACCCCTAATAATTGCCCAACGAGCTTGCAAGATACCGAAACACCTTTCCACGTCTTTCCTGTAACCTTCTTGAAAGGAAGCAAAGCTTCTTTCCTTCTCGGATTGGGGATTCAGAATTGTTTTCACGAATGTCATCCACCTAGGATAAATTTCGTCGGTAAGGTAGTACGCACCAGAGTATATGGTATTGTTGATTTGGTACGTAACTTGGGGGGAATGACCTCGCAATACCTCGTCGAACACTGGGGATTGACCAAGGACATTGAGGTCATTCTGAGATCCGGCAACCCCAAAGAAGGCATGCCAAACCCAACAGTCGAATGAAGCTACAGCCTCCAAAATTATACTTTTTTGGCCCTTTCGATTCCCGTACTCTCCTTGCCAAGTAGTAGGACAATTCTTCCACTGCCAAACCCAACAGTTTTTTGTCATTTCCCTTGAATGTTCCTGGTACAGTATACCATAAAGGTTTAAAGGTAGTATTCAAAATGGTTTGGTTATCAAAACATGCAAAATTTGTTTCAATTATTCAATCAGATACCATAAAGATATTTAAAGCTTTGGCACCTATTCAGGACCGCGATAAGATAACAACAATGCTGAGGGATATACTAAAGAAGAGAGATAAGATAACAACAATTCAGGACGATTATGGCTCTCACCTCTGCACTTCTACTAAGTCCCAACACATTCATGGATCCCCTCGAGTTCAATCCGTGGCGTTGGAAGGTGCGTTTTAGTGGGGTGGAAGAGAGGGGTTTGGTGTTGTAATATTGCCATTTTTCCAAAATAAGCTTATTTTGTTTATACACACGTGTAAATATTTTATGGAAATAAGGACCTTGACTCCCTTGTTGTATCGAAGAACTTCATGCCGTTTGGTCGAGGATCGAGACAATGCGCAGGGGTAGAGTATAGTAGGCTGTTCTTGGCCACCGTTCTCCATGTCTTGGTCACCAAATATAGGTACGCACACCATTCCCCTGTTATTTTCATCTCATTTACAAGTTACAAATCAACTGTGTGCCTACAAGGTTTTTGACAGAGCTTAATCATCTTTTGGATTTTAACTTTTTTGTTCATAGCTGGAAAACGATCAAAGCGCGCGGGACGCATTGCTCGGAAGAATATGTTAGGATTTGGGGCAAGCATTCACATTAAGCTCTCGGAGAAGAAAAACTGAGATACTTTTCAAATTCTGTTTATGGGAAATGATCGAGCACTTGTCTAGATGTACCTATAATTAAAAATAACGTGCAATTAAGTTATGAATTAGCCCCAAAACAGGAAAATCTATATAATTAAGTTGGAATAATTGAGGGTTTGTGCACTAAAAAGGCCTCCCAGTTATCAAATATTCACTACATGAGTTGTTCTAAATGAGTTGTTCTATCTGGTTGTTTGGGGATTCAGCCTCCTTGTTTATTTTGATTTAATAAATAACAAATTTTAAGTTTACCTTTTTTAACTGCCAATGCATATTAAGGAATCCACAATATAAAAGTATTAATAAAAGCTGCATAAAATTTGTAAATTTTTTTAATACGTAAAAATACCTTGGATTGGACCAATACATTTTGTTCATATTCATTCGTTTGAATACGAGTATTTACTCCAAAGGTCCTAGGTTTGATTTCTCTCTTCTTTAACAAAGATGGAAGATCTCTCAAACCACTACTCTGCAAATGATGAAAAATCTCTCAACTAACAAACAAATCAATGAGATGAAGATCAAAAGAAGGGTGAATTTTCTGATACCATGAAGGAAGTTGAGGTTCCACCCAAAAACCAATTGGTAATGGGAGGAACCTTAACTTGCTTCATGATATCAGAGCCAAGTTAGTTCACATGTGACAGCCTAACGGACACACGTGCTCCACGTCACCCGTTATGCGTTGTCCACGTGATAGGCTTGAAAATTTGCCACACGTGCGGGGGCGTGTGAGAATGTGAAGGTAAAAAGTCCTATATTTGAAAGTTTACTACTACAAAAATCGCAATAGACAACGGTAATCCACCGTTGTGTATCTGGTTTTTCAACCATCGTGAAATCGATCAACATCTTTTGATGCATAAAACCACGACGGTAAATCCCTGTCGTCTATTATTTGTAAAGACGACGCTTTTACTCAAACTTGTCGCCTATTATATGTAATGACGACGGTTTTTTGAAAGAAATGTCGTCTATTAGATGTAAAGATGACATTTTTTGAAAGAACTGTCGTCTATTAGATGTAAATTTGTCAATCGCGAATTCACTTAAGCGGCCTTTTTTTATCCTGTTTTAAAAGATGACGCTTGTTAGTGACAAGCGTCGTCTTTTAAAAATCAAGTGGCCTTTTTTTTTTGTTCAGCGTGTTTTAAAAGACAATGTTTGTTGTGTTTTAAAAGACGACGCTTGTTAGTGACAAGCGTCGTCTTTTAAAAATCAATCTAACCCTAGTAGTGTATAAGATGATATATCATGACGGTTTAAAAAAACATCGTCGTCTTTTGAAACATAAGAACGGTTTTAAGATGCACCGTCGTTTATTTTGTGTCATGGTTTAACTATTTTGTAGAAGTGGTTGAAAATAGAAAGTCCATATAATGAATGGCTCCACTCCTAATAAAATCGATGTCTTTTATATAAAACTTCACACCTGCAAAACAGGTGGTTAAGTTGGGGACAATATCAATGTTACTGGTGGTAGGGCAAGGGTTCATCTCTCTAAAATCTTAACATTGTATCAAAGCGGGCCAGTTGACTTGGCCCGATTTAACCCAAATCAAACAAAACCCCAAATTAAAATAATTTAAATATATAAAAAAGTGACCGATGTGGAATTGGTTGCACGTGTGGCCCACTAAAAAGTGATCTCACGTGAGGAGGAGTGTTGAAGAATACACATAGTTCTACATCATAAACTTAACACGTTTCTTTACCCTCTTGTTTTATCTCATTTGGATCTCAAGTTACAAAAATTGCGTCTGCTGTTCTTCACAGATCTTAACCAACCATCGTTTGAATTTCTGTTAATAGGTGGACAGCGATCAAGGGGGCACGCATTGATCGAAATCCCATGTTAGGATTCGGGGATGGCATTCACATCAAGTTTGAAGAGAAGAAAAACTGAGATTATTTTTTCTTCAACTTGTTCAGCTGCTATTCTTGAATATGCAGCAATAAAATTGTCTAATTGGAAAAGCCAAAAACAAATATTTAGATTTATCTTATTGAAACTTGAATCTAGGGTTTCAAATAATTCCTCAAAGATTGGGAGCTTCATGAATTTGCAGAGTTTATAATAGAAAACGATGATAATATGTCATGAAATTTCCCATATATTGCGTAAAAGCGTTAAAACCCTGTTCAACCTTTACCCAATGCACATATCTCTTAACATAACCGGTCATACAATGACAACTGGCCAAATTGCAAAAGACTAAAGAGCCCTCAGTATCCTATCAAAAAACAGCAACATGTAGCGTAGACATAGACTACTAAGCCTAGGTTCACTTTACGTCCTCAACTTCTTTATTATGATAATTGATCATGTGACTAATATGTGAAGTTATGAGAAAATAAAACATAACATAAAATAAAATAAAGGATGTATGGAGATTTTATGCAAGCCCAAGAAAAGTGAAGAATAGTTCTCGGGTACTTGTTCCGGGTTCATGCCTCGTTGCCATCCCTACTATGCGAAATTCTGTAATGAGGGCTGTCAGTACACATATAAGGTCCATATATCGCGACACTCAACATAAAACGACTCTCCCTACTCGAACCCGGCCTCCTCGAGCCATTCGTTGAAGGCCCACGAACAGTTGGGCGGGTTGTTGGGAAATATACAGTAAATTAAGCTGGCAACTAAAAGTTAGAATTTAACTTAATGGATCATCTGTTGGGCATTAGAGAAATTGACTTAATGGGCCAGCCCCATTGTACAACAAGGACCAAGATTAACAGTAGCTCTGGGATTTTAAAAACAGGCTTTCCCCACTTTTCAACATCACTCTGTCTGGAGAAAGTTCTCATATTGAGGCCATGTGTAAATCTGGCAGACGAAATTAAATTCTATCGGGCCGTCCATTTTGACCGAAGCCATTACTATTTTGGTATTATCATGATCATCAATCTTTGAATATCAGCCTAAAAAATCTACAGCAATTCTGGTGAGCCTGTCTGCCACGTTATGTTTTTCTAAATCTGAAAGGCGTACACGAACCATCATCATCATCATCATCATTTTCTTAGTATTGACCCCCAAAAAGGATAATATTTCTTAATTAGTTTAAGTTTTTTTTTAGAGAATACCAATATAAAGCATGTACAGCATAGTCAACAACATATGACAAATTTTTGTTTTTTTTTTGAGGCCGGATATGTAAAGCAAAGTACAATCTCAATCTCATCCGAATCTTTTCAGGTGACATAAAAACATTAGTTAATTGCAAATTTAATGAAGAAAGTTGATAAATATAGTGTTCGTTTTTTACATTCGAGTTCGTTTTTTCTTCTTGTATATTATATAGTTTTAAAAATTGATTAATTGAACAAATATTTTTTCATAGTCAAATTTAATGTTGGGTTGGAAAATCGAGCATACCAAAGAACCATCTTCCCAAGTTTACTTCCACTTTTTTAATTCCAGCTAACCTTTTTGAATTTTTGGAATAGGACAAGACCTAATATTCATCTCATGCATATCAAATTATATGTCCCATCTTGTTTTGTTGTTCTTTGGGGTTTACCCCCTTTTTCAATTGAAATAAAAAATAAAAAATTTATGTCGCATCATAATAAGATGTCAAGTCAAAAGACTTATATGATTTGATGAGAATAAAAAAAAGTAAGCACAGAAATACATGTGTGAATAGTTGGATCCATTAAAAACTTTGTGATATGAGTTTTTCTTTTTGGTAGCACTATATCTACCGTTGTTTTCTTTCTAGTTTTAATATTATCGTTCTGAATTTCGAGCCTTTATATTTAGAGATTGTGCATTTACTCGTATTTTGTAATATTTGAACCATTCTATTAATCTATCCGTTTAAAACATGACACATCAACAACATAAGTATTAAATTCTTTTTTCTTTTTTTTTCTTTTTTCATAAAAAGAAGTGTTTAAAGTTAACAAGTCTTTTATTGTTTAAATAAAAAATAAAGTAAAAATCCACGAAAATTACCCATAACCTTCAATGTACATGAAAAAGTGTTATATGGAAGATCAAAATGGAATATCCTTTGAATAAACATGACTCATCGCCCCTTCTCAATATAATCAATTTACCAACTACATTCAACAATTTGGAGAACCAGTTTGATTTGTATTTTGCATTTGTATTGACACCTATTTATTTCATGGTTGTAGGGGTAGATCTGTGATAGGAGAGATATAGACAAGACAAAGAGAAATGGTGGCTTGTATGGTGGCCTGGGTGGCAGGGATAAGGGTGGGAATGGTGGCTTATGCACTCCCTTGATATAAATTATAATCCACATTGAAGATGTTAGACCAAGTTCCAAGGAAATTTTTATTTATTTATTTATATTTATCCGAATCCTATCTGAAATCTCTAGGAAACTCATACAGATATCCGAACCAGGATATATGATATATTATTGAATATAACATGTAATTGTGTATGCTTATATATACATAAGCATACAAAGACTGATCATAGCAGCAGCAAACACACTTCTTAGATCAGAATGGGAAAGAAAGTGGCCATTATAGGAGCTGGAACTAGTGGCCTTCTTGCCTGCAAGTACACACTTTCAAAGGGCTTTCAGCCCATTGTGTTTGAATCTGCAAGCACCATTGGAGGAGTTTGGACCAAAACTATTGAGACCACCAAGCTCCAAACTCCTAGAGAAGCTTACCGATTCTCAGATTTCCCATGGCCATCTTCTGTGACAGAGGACTTTCCTAACCAACGTCAGGTTTTGGATTACATCCAATCATATGCTCACCATTTTGACTTGCTCAAGCATATCAAATTCAACACGAAAGTTTGTGGGATTGAGTATGAAGGCTCCTCTGAGGATGAGATGCAAGCTTGGAGCTTGTGGGGTGGCTCTGGAGAGCCTTTCAGCTCCAAAGGGAAATGGAAATTTGTAGTAGAAGACAAACAAAGCCTTTCAACCGAGGTACAAGTATAATATGTATAATCGAGTTTATATGTTATTATGTTAAGTTGTTAGACTATCAATATTTAAGTCATGCTGATCGAGGATGGATAAGCAGATCTACGTGGTGGACTTTGTGATCCTCTGCATCGGACGATTCAGTGATGTCCCAAACATTCCTGAATTCCCTTCCAACAAAGGACCAGAAGTATTTGATGGAGAGGTTATACACTCTATGGATTATGCTGCCATGGATTACGAAAGCGCTCGCAGATTCGTGAGAGGAAAGCAAGTAACAGTTGTTGGGTTTCAGAAATCTGCATTGGACATTGCAATGGAGTGTTCAAACACAAATGGTAGACCGAGTTGTTAGTCTGCTAGAGAAAATTTGATCAACATGGCATCTGCACAAAAATACTTTGTTCATTCTTATTCATAGTAGTTTGTATTACCTTTCATCTTTTTATTTTCTTAATTGATTAGCTGGTTTGCAGGGCTTGAACATCCATGCACAGTCTTATACAAGACAGAACATTGGAATGTCCCTGATTATCTTCCATGGGGTGTGCCCCTGGCATACCTATACCTTAATCGATTCTCGGAGCTTTTGGTTCATAAGCCTGGAGAAGGCATCCTACTCAGTCTCCTGGCAACAATTCTTTCACCTCTGGTAAACTTCTTTTTATCTTTTTAATTATCTATGAACTTGATCATAATCCCTAAAAGCTGATGTTTATTAGTAATTTTTTTTATCATTAAACAGAGATGGGCATTTTCAAAATTTGTGGAAAGTTATATAACTAAGAAGCTTGGTTTAGCCAAGTATGGAATGGTACCTAAGCATAGTTTCCTCCAAGAAATCAGTTCTTGTCTGATCTCAACAGTGCCTGAGAATTTCTATGATCGAGTCCAAGAAGGAAGCATCATACTGAAAAAGTCTCCCAGCAGCTTCAGCTTTTACCAAGAAGGCATTTTGGTTGAAGGAGAAAGCTCCCCTGTGAAGACAGATTTGGTCATATTGGCTACTGGGTATAGGGGTGATAAAAAGCTCAAAGACATCTTTGTGTCTCCCACCTTTCAGGACTACATAGCCGGATCACCTAATGCAGCATTACCCCTCTACAGGTAAGCTCTGGTCTATGTACCACATTTGCTGATAACATCCAGTTATCGAGTCCATTTCGGTCACATCTAGGTCTTAGTTGTGTGAGATATATGATTACTAAATGTGGTACGTATAATTTTATTTGGTAATTTTATTAAATATGGCATTTAATTGTGGTAGCTCAATATGACTTTGTTCAAATCAGGGAATGTATACATGGACGAATTCCACAACTAGCTGTAATTGGATTCTCCGAGAGTGTTTCCAACTTGTACACATCTGAGATGAGATGCAGATGGCTAGCAGAGCTTCTTGGAGGCACATTTAAGCTACCAAACATAAAGGAGATGGAGAAAGATGTCGAAAAATGGGATGAATACGCCAAGCGATATTCGGGCAAATACTACCGGAGATCATGCATCGGTGCCCTACATATATGGTACAATGATCAATTGTGCAAGGACATGGGATGGAACCCGAAAAGAAAGAAGGGGCTCTTTGCTGAATTGTTTGAGCCTTATGGCCCAACGGATTATGTTTCCTCTTAAAATGGGTAGCAGTGACATAAAAGATGATTGATTCAGTTTTCCATTTCTTTGTCCGAAGTTCCAAAGGGTAAGAGTAATTCTTTTTGTGTGTTTGTTTTCGTTGTATTTTACTGCTGGGTGATCCAGCTTGTACTGAGTTCTTGATTGCTGCTTGTTTCATTTTCCCAATAAGGGGAAAAAAACCAAGATGATAACAAAAATGGAATAAAAAATAAATAAACGAATTTTGGCTAGCGTCACGCGTCCACGTACGACTCACTCATGCTACCATGATTCGTAACAGAATATTTTTTGCCTTAGACAAATTGAACGAAGGGGCTGGCCTCATTGTGTTTGAATTTGGACATAAATGGATCAGATTCATACCAGATATGGGCTTCAAATGAAAATCGCAGATTCATACCAGATATGGGCTTCAAATGAAAATCGGGGTTCGCGCTTACCAATGTGCTCCCATCTATTAGCAGAGAAGTTTTTCAGAGTTGTCATGTTGAGGCCATACGTAAATCTGGCACATAAAATACAATATTGCTGAGGCCATGAAAAGTCTTAGAATGGGCAGCCCAAATTTGAATGAAATATTAGTATTTGTTGTATTATTATCATCATCAATCTTGGCCATCAGCTCTAAAAAAATTCAAAATCTGCATATAGGATAGTTAAACACATTCTCATTCATATCTAGATCAGATTCTTGGATTAATTTCAAAGAATGGTTTCTTGAAGAAATAGATCTCTTTTATTCCTTGAATCTACATATTCATCAATCTATCAATATGGAGCTGAGTTGCGGCGTCATGGGGTGAAGAAGCTGATGGTCTAGCAGCCATTTGCATGAAGGACAAACTGCTAGCTCAACTAAGTTTGGAGAAGAATGTTGCACATGGATGTAGCGCTCATTTCCTAAATAGACCTGGGATTGCTTGAGCTTGTGATTACTTTTTCTATAAGAACCTTCTTGATTTAGTGGATTGCCTGGTCAGAGTGATGACCCCCAGTTTTTCCCAATTGTGGGTTTCTGGGTAAACATTTCTATTGTGATTCTTTGATTTATATGCCTAGTCATATTGTATGTGTTATATCTAAAATGTTGATGAATGTTCACACACTTATCACTCTAGTTGTTGCTAGCACAGGGGATGACTAGATTAACAGGCCCTTCTGAATGTCTAGGTTGTCATGTAGTTATCTTCTAGGCTTGCAAGGATTTGAATATTTGATATGTTGTGCATCTGTGTTATGCTTATATGTTCATAGATCTATGACTAGTTGTTGACTAGTCATATTATCTCCAAGTTTATTTGATCATTGTTGTCATACATTATACATATGTCCATTTGGATTTTAATTTACCCATTACCAATTTCAAGTTGCAACAAAAAGTTGAATATGTTAGATTGGATGGATTCCTAGGAAATGGAGAGAGGAGACAAATCTACATACATGATTGATATAGATTCCCTTATGTGATTAAATGTATATTAAACCAAAGAATATCTAATTAAATATACATGTGGGTGGCTAGACAATAATATTTAATTACTTCCTCCCACTTATATATACATATAGTACTCTCTATAGCAGCAAAATCAAACACTTGGATTAAAAATGGGAAAGCAGGTGGCAATTATCGGAGCTGGGATCAGTGGCCTCCTTGCCTGCAAGTACACACTTTCAAAGGGCTTTCAGCCTATTGTTTTTGAAGCTTCAAGCAGCATTGGAGGAGTGTGGACAAAAACTGTTGAGACTACCAGGATCCAATCTCCTAAAGATTATTACCAATTCTCAGATTTTCCATGGCCATCTTCAGTGACAGAGGGCTTCCCAACTCAAAATCAGGTTTTGGATTACGTCAAATCATATGCTCAACATTTTGACTTGCTCAAGCATATCAAATTCAACACCAAAGTGTGTGGGATTGAGTATGAAGGGCCATCGTCTGAGGATGAGATGCAAGCTTGGAGTCTCTGGGGTGGCAACGGAGAGCCTTTCAGCTCCGAAGGGAAATGGAAAGTTGTAGCAGAAGACAAACATAGCCTCTCAACTGAGGTACAAATTTATATTACGTACATATATCCATGTATATGCATGATTCCGAGGTTATTTATGTTATTTTATATAACTGTCATCAATGTTTTAGACTCTAGTCTTACTTATCAAGTACGAACAAGCAGATTCACCTGGTGGACTTTGTGATCCTCTGCCTCGGGCGATTCAGCGATGTTCCAAACATTCCTGATTTCCATCCAAACAAGGGACCAGAAGCATTTCATGGAGAGGTAATACACTCGATGAATTACGCCGACATGGACTATGTAAGTGCGGCTAATTTGGTGAAAGGAAAGCAAGTAACAGTTGTTGGGTTTCAGAAGTTTGCAATGGACATTGCAATGGAGTGTTCAAATGCAAATGGTAATTTAAATATCACACAGAATTTGAATGTCACATGACATAAGGCCAAGTAGCACAGAAAATAGTTTGACCATTTTGTTCACAAGTTTGTGTTACATTTTCTTCTTAATTCATTATCTGGTGCGCAGGGGTTGAACTTCCATGCACAGTCATATACAAGACAGAACACTGGAACCTTCCTGACTATCTTCCATGGGGGTTGCCCCTGGCATACCTGTACTTTAGTCGCTTCTCGGAGCTCTTGGTTCATAAGCCTGGTGAAGGCCTCCTACTCAGTCTCCTGGCAACAATTCTTTCACCTCTGGTAAACTTTATTTTGACAATCATAAATTTATAACCCCTTTGTTTGTGATGCTTATTAACTAATTAACTTTCTATTGATTGAGCAGCGATGGGCATTTTCGAAATTTGTGGAAAGCCATGTAAATAAGAAGCTTGGTTTAGCCAAGTATGGTATGGTACCTAAGCATAGTTTCCTTCAAGAGATCAGCTCTTGCATGATCGCAACGGTACCGGAAAAGTTCTTTGACCGGGTCCAAGAGGGAAGCATCATTCTGAAAAAGTCTCCCAGCAGCACCTTCAGCTTTTGCCAAGAAGGCATTTTGGTTGAAGGTGAAAGCTCCCCTGTGAAGACAGATTTGGTCATAATGTCTACTGGATTCAGAGGTGAGAAAAAGCTCAAAGACGTCTTTGTGTCCCCAACTTTTCAGGACCGAATAGTCGGTTCACCAGAGACCATATTGCCCCTCTACAGGTTACCTTCTGTTCTCCATTCTGTCAGATACTAGATCAGTAAATGCGGTACAAAATTATTTTAGTTCGGAGTTTTATTCACTACAGCATTTTAATATGGTAGCTCGGTATTATTTTATTTCAATCAGGGAATGCATACATGGAAGAATTCCACAACTAGCTGTAATTGGATTCTCCGAGAGTATTTCCAACTTGTTCACCTCTGAGATGAGATGCAGATGGCTTTCAGAGCTTTTTGCAGGCACATTTAAGCTTCCAAGCATAAAAGAGATGGAGAAAGATGTGGAAAAGTGGGACAAATACGCAAAGCAATACGCTTCTGGCCAATACTATCGGAGATCATGCATCGGCGCCCTGCATCTGTGGTACAATGACCAGTTGTGCAAGGACATGGGATGGAACCATAAAAGAAAGAAGGGAGTCTTTGCTGAATTGTTTGAGCCTTATGGACCAATGGATTATGTTACCTCTTAAATGTGGTAGCAGTGACATAAAAGATGATTTAATGTTCCTTTTCTTTGTCCAAGTTTTTCCTTGTATTTTAGCTGCATAAAGGCTTATGCTTGAATTTCAAAAATAATGGCCGAGAAAACAAGAAAGATGTGCAACTATATTTGCAGGGCAAGGCTTCCTAGCTTGAAGGAACTCAAGAATCTCTGCGCACATAAATTTGTAGATTTGAATTGAATCCAATTTCTAGTTTTGTTATGCATGAAAGTTCATAGTTTCAAATGAATTTGATTTCTAGTTTTGTCTCTGCGTGAATAAATTCATAGCTTTCCAATTAACTCAATTTTCACATTTTTCCAATGTATTTAATTTCTTTCTTCGTGTGTCATGCGTTGTATTTTGGAAGTTCTCATCTAAGTCGCATGGTGACCCAGCATATGAAGACAAATAAATATTTTTTATTTATTGAATATACACATTAAAAAGCAAATTAACAATAACTTACAAAAATAATAAGTAATGTTTAGGTTCTTTTTTCTACTAAAAATTATGAATGAATAAAAAATGTTTAATAAGCTAATACGAATGGTAATCCAAACCAAAGCCGCGATTTACAGCTGAAACCTCTCTCCGGCTTATGGGAAACACTCAAATGGCTAGCTGAAAAAGAATTGTATCTTGTTTAGGGCACATTCTAAAAGCTGGAAACATGTTTCATATAAAATTCCATTTCTAAAATGTTGTCTTCTAATAAGATTTCCAACCAAAATTTTTGCATTCTAACTTCAGTACGCATTCTAACTAGTCATTCGAGGGAGAGAGAGTAAAAATCTTTGCAGCATGCGAAAGAAAGAAGAACGGAAGTGACAATTATACAAAAATCCAAACAGCTCGGTAAAGTTACATTGTTAGAAAATTATGGATGTCCACTAACCTGGGCTTTCTGAATGCCCGTGTGCACAAACCACCACGGACCTGATTTTGACAGAAATCTGAAAGGAGAACATAAGATAAATAAGATATGAATAAACAGCAACAAAGATGGTGATGATGCTGACAAATAAAAAACCAAATCCAAACGATCATTTTGCCTTCCCTACAAGAAAAAGAAGCAAATGCCATGTTCATATTTTGACTACAGGTAGATCAGTCTGTAGCATATTATACTAAACTACAAATCAGAAGAAAAAAATGCATATTCTTTTCAATTATGCTCATATATCACATAAAAAACACTGACAAGAGAAGCCTTGAAATAATTTTCATCAAAACTTATACACCAGCAACTCACAAAATTTGACATAGTATACATTACCTGGCATAGCCTGCCACAGCACGCAAGCCCATGAAGAGAGTTAATCCCAACCAAACCCCAGGAAGGCCAAGAATAGAAGGAGCATATAGCAAAAATGCGGAAGATATTGCCCCTACTACCATCTGTTATAAATAGAAAAATTATCAAAGAAACAATCAACATGTACAACTTTCATAGCCAAAGTAAGAATAAAGACGTGACTGGATAATTTCGACTCTTTTAAGGAAGTAACTTACCATGGAGCGAGCTGCATATGCAAAATCTGAAACACCGAAATGGAGACCATCGAAAACATAAGCTAGAGCATTCAATGGCTGACTAGCACTGACAAACTGTGGACAATTAGACAACATCATTATCCGTATTAAAGACATCTGCATTTGAATATAGCCATACTAATAGATCACAAAACATAATTTGAATACGTACCAATATCCCAGATCTGACAATTACTAATACTTCAGGATCTTTGGTGAACAACGTAGCTAAAGAACCAAAAGATAATCCCAAAATTACAGACAAGGAAACACCTGTGAACAATCCTATCTGGAAAAACATCCACATAAGTTTATCATATGAAATCAAGAAACTGCATATACAACATAACGAAACTACACCAAACATAGGCAGATCTGGGAGCATCCATGTAATTATAGATGATACAAAAAAGCTATACCTTTAACACGGAGTCAGCAACTTCTTTCACAATTTTGTATTCACCTTTAGATAAATAACTAGCAATCAGGGCCTACAAACAAACACATTTTAGCTGTGTAAATTTGATGCCAAATGCAAAGACACACTTCATCACAAAACCCCAATTTGCAGAAAAAATATCTGTGAAATTTGGTCCAGTTAAAATAGGAAAAGAACTCCACACTCGGGGTCAAGTAAAACTGAAAGTTAGACTTCACCCACTGATTGATCTGGATCACCAAATGGAAATGAGTAGATACGAACTGCGATGATAAAATGAGAGAGAGCATACCTGACCAGATGCAGCCATTGCATCAGTTAGAAGGGATACAGCCAACCAAACTTGTATACATATCTGATGAGCAGCCATAGCTACTGGACCTTGACGAGCAGCCATTGACGTTCCCAATGTTAAGGTAGTAAGAACAGCAAGAGTTCTTCCAAGAAGAAAACCACCTGTATCATCCCAGAGTTGAAAACAAAAGCAATTAGGGAAAGAACTTTGAAAAGGAAGACAAGAGAGAATTATCTCTGGAGTAAAGAAAGAGGTTTAACTAGCATCACAAAGACAAAATGAAACATTAAGACACACACTGTCCATATACATGCACTGCTCAATCAGAAAACAAAAAAAGTCAAATATTATGATAGCGTTGATAGTCAAGCAAATAATTGAAGCAGAACACTGGAAAAAAAGGCATATATTTTCAGATATATGAGAGGGTAAAAGTTTAAAGAAAAAGAAAAGGAACTTACCAGATTTTATGTATCCACCAAATTGCAATGATCCCACCTTTGGAGGCAATAGTATAGCTCTCTTATTTAAAAACCAGATCATTAAAAAGGTGACAGTGTATCTGAAAACAGAAATTCCAGAATATGTTCATTTGCGAAGTAAAGCAAAAAAGGAATATTAACAGAAACTGTATTGAAAATCACATACTGAGATATAACAGTGGAAAGTGCTGCACCAGTTACACCCAAACCAAAATAATACATAAGGATGGGTAATAAAAATGCAGCTAGCAGATTACCAATACCTGCACAAAGAAAAATACATCAATTAACCAGATGGACCACTCAAGCTTAACTAAAGACAAACAGAAACCAACTAGTTGGGGACAAAGTTATAAATACATTATGCGAGAATAATAGACCAGTAATACACACACACACACGCACACACACACACACACACATAGAGGTGTGTGCATGTGTGGTTGTAAGAAAATTGGATTTTCCATCCCAAAAACTGCAGATTATTTCACATCAATCAAAGGATAGTGAATACCATCATGACACGAATCACAAATATATAGCATTGGAATCGATAAAACTGTGTTACACCAATTCCCCAGTGCTCTCCCCATCCAAAAAAAATGGAATCAATAAAATCAAGTTATCATTTATCTGATAGAAAAGCAACATCATGATAAGTAAATCAATTAATGTATATAATTGTAAACATAAAACCATTGAATTTCAAAGCAACACATTAAAGAATTTAGAAACAGATAAATGAACGTCTGTGAGTCTTATGACATGTGATATATGCATACCTCAATCAACAGAGGATCTTTTCACTAGAAAATTTCAATTATATATAACCAAACACTTACCTAGACATAGTACTGGAGTCTTTGTATCCTTAAAACCACGGAAAACTCCTTGAAGAGCCAAAGAGGCTACAACTGCTGGAGCACCAAATGCTCTTAGTGAAAGAAACCGTTGTGCAGGAATGCGCATAGGTGAGTCCTGTGATATTCAAGAAAAAATAAAAATCTTGCTTAAAATTCAAAGCCAAGAACTTGAGAGAAGAAAAACAGAAAATCTATGGCTCCCCCCACCCAGACCCAAATAAATAAATAAAATTACCCGAAAGTTATACTATCACCTGTTAAGTAACCACACATACACTAGACCTACAAGATTGTATAGTAATTATTCACATAAATATGTAAACATGTATGTACACAGTACACACAGAAAACATATGTTTGTATGTTTATGTAAAGAAAGATAAGAAGAGGCAGATAACAAATCAGTATGAGCTGTAATTTTAGATCAGGGAACCTACCATTGATATGCCCATCATATTCAGAAACAGTCCAGATCCCAAAGACAAGGCTACAGCCTCAAAAATCCCAATCCCCACTGATAATAGTAAAGCTGTAGACACTGAAGATAGCTGCTTTCTCTCAGTTACTCCATCAGTACATTCGGGTTTACCATTAGTAATGTCTCCTAGACAACCATTTTCTGTACAATGATTAGCCGAATTCAGATTACAAATGGAGAAATTTTAAGTCACCTATGCTCTAATTTAGACATGAACCCTAACCAAAATTTATGTCCAACAGAGATGAGCAAGGAATTAAAAAAAGTTAAACTTCACCTGAAGTAGAAGCTATACTTTCACTCTTTGCAAGATCTTCAGCAACAAAAGATGTAGCAACACTGAGGAGAGGGATATTAAATAGCTTTGATATATAATTGAAGATGTTCATTGAAATACCAGCTGAAGCCAACTCCACAGAACCTATGGAAAAACAAAAAGGCCAAAAACATTGAATAAAAGCTCCAAAGTTAAATACATTATACAAATATTAGTCGTTGAACTCATTTAAAGGAGTGAAACATACCCAATCTACCAATGTAAGCAGTCTCCATTAGCTGTGCTAAGGGATCAATGGCCTGACCCAAAATTGCAGGTAAAGAAAGCATCAACAGCTCACGTTTGACATCTGGAGAATATGTTTGACTGATAGGAATGTTGCTCAACGATAGAGAGGTACTGAAGAATCATTTACCCAAAACAAGCATAAAACAATGTTTAAGATAGGTATCAAATCTTGTATTCCCAATCACCTAAAACTAATTAAGAATAATCATAAGAATTTCTGCCACTCACTGAAATAGACAGGATCAAGAATCAGTTAGCAATGTTTCTCATATCACCTTCACATATCAAGATAAAGTGAAAATAAACAACATCAGCTTGCTTGCCCTTGTAAGATCAAGAAGGACAAAGGAAGGGAGGGACTGGCTTTCATCAACAATAGAAAAACTTATCCAGAGCTATCATGTTCATAATACCATTCACTCTAACAAACCAGAGTTTTTACAAAATGATAAATTTCTAACAAATTTGAAAAAATATGAATCTCTGTGCAAGGAAAATGGGCAGTTCAGCGTAGGCAGATCAGTATTAAGTAGTTTACAGAAACATAACAGTCCATTCCATTAACGTGCCTATATTATGTCCAATTATGAAGGGAAGAAAAATATATCACATATTAGAAGAAATCATGTCAAACTAATGAAAGTAAGAGCATCAATTAAGAAAAAAAAAGTCCCAAAACAATAAAAGAATAAAAGCACAAATTCACACATAACAAGTTCATGTAGGTTATAAGTTCTTACAGGTCATCACTCCCTCCATTTATGAGAGCTTGCCCTTCCTCTAAAGCTAACTTTTCCTTAACCTCAGAGGAACCGACACCAACATCAGAACTCAACTGATTAGATACCAGTGGGAAACAGGGTCTTCGGCGACGTGTCAATAGCGGGGAGCACAGTGCTCTGTGTGTAGCAGACAGACTACAGCCCCCCACAACATTGGCATTGCTCAAATCCTTCCCACCACTTAGTGCTCCAAATTTACCAGCTTCGCTTTGGTTCAATGAATTAAACAACCTTGCTTTCTTAGTTGTTGGGTTATGGTCACTGGCTCTAGTGGTTAATCCGCCAGAAAGTGCGCCACCTCTGAATTGGGTAGCCGCCATTTTCACCAAGTATTGTAATTTCTTCAAAACCTAAACCAAAAAACCAAATTATAAGTTAAAATTTCCTAATACGAAGGGTTTGATATCAATATAGTTTAGTTCTCAATCATGTAACAATAAAATTGTATATCAACCAAGAAAAAGAACCAACTTTAGACAGCCAAACACTGAATGCTATACATAATTCATATCCGTGAAAACCAATACTCTGTTTCGGGAAAAGAAATTGAAGCACATTTGAAAACAGAGCATATAACTGCAAAGGATTGGCATAAATGCGTACATACCACGCAATTACACAGAATAAAGCGACGGCAGCAATTGGGAAAATGAAAAAGGAGTGGACAGAACAATCCGTTTGATTCCCGGGAAAATTTGTAAAGGAACCAAGAACAAAAAAACCGAAAAGTAAAGAAGAGGATAAGATAAAGGAGTTACCTTTGTATAGAGTGACTGTGAGTGAGTGACAGAGTGAGATTTTTAGGGTTGTGGAGAGAGAAGAAGAGGAGGAAAACAAGGTTGGTTGAGGATCGAGAGATGGCGCCCAACGGTCCTCCCTGTCCGGCGAGAGAGAGTGGTTTAAACTTGAAGAGGCCCAAGTGGTCTGCGGTTGGGTTTACAAAACCTTACTGTAAATAATGCAAGTCCAAACCGCGACGAGGTCTTTGTTATAAATCATTGCTCTTCAGGAGTTTTAATTCAAGCACATGCCACGTCACTGTCTAGCCTCACCATGTAACTACCACTCCACGTGTAACCTACCTACCTCTTTTCTATTTTTTGGTTTATGTGTAAAATAACTTTCACGTGGTTAGATTATGACAGTTTATAAATAAAAATAAATAAAAATAAAAATTTGATAAATTGCAAGAGTAATTGTGCAGCGTTAATTTTAATGATTTTACTCCTGTAATTTTTTTTGGTTGATAGATTTTGCTCTTGTAATTGAGTGAAAATTGAACAACATGTAGCATAAATGTAACAATATTTAAGTGGTATGTATATAAAAATGTAGCGGATATCGAATCAAATTATGTTAATAAAAATCAAAACAAACTACACAAATCTTAATACTTGTTTTATTCAATTGACGGTATACAAGAATTTGTCCTTAATGTTAAAATTGACAAAATTGAAATAATAAAAAGCTTAGTAAAAATTGAACCAAATTGTGAAGACATTGTTGGTGACCATAAGAACAAAGAAGCTATTTTATTTTTTCCAAACCTAGTTATTTTTTTAATTGTGGCAAATATATACTTATACTAAGAAGTAATGTTCATAAAAATAAAAATAAAAGAAGGAAAGTTTTTTAGAGTAGGAATAAAAATAAATAAATAAACTTTATTGGTTCCTATTACCAACGGGAAAAGGAAAGTAAATGCTGCCGACCGTTAGGCTCTCTCTATATACAACATCGAATTGCAATTCTCTCCGTATTTGATTTTCTTGTTGAATTTGTTGGATTGAGCCTCAAGTCTCTAACAATGGCTGACGTTTCTTCTCCAATCTCTTTCAAAAGACGGCGGCTCATCGGCAACCTTCATCACACGGTGGCCGAAGAAGCCAAGCGCGACCTTACTGAGGAGGGTGCAGATGGGTTTTATGAGCTCACCGCAGAGGATTATTACCGGCTCCGGAAGACCAAGAAGGAAGACAAGTTTTTGAAAACACAGAAGATGAGGGAGGCAGAGCAGGCAAAGTGCAGGTCAAGGTTGACCAAGGCTGTGATTAGGGTTAGGTTTCCTGATAATCACACATTGGAGGCAACTTTTCATCCGTCGGATAAAATCCAGAGCTTGGTTGATCATCTGAAGAAAGTTGCTGCTCGACCAGAATTACCCTTCTACTTATTTACTGCCCCTCCCAAGGAGGTGATCAGAGACATGTCAATGGATTTTTACTCTGCCGGGTTTGTTCCTGGGGCGAATGTGCATCTTTCATATGGTGTACCTAATTAGGCCATTGATTAATCTTTGTTATTTTCTTCTTTTATGTGATTGCTTAGGGTTTAGGCCTAAACCTGTTTGTATAAATATGGGGAATTTCTACCTCGTGAAATTTGACTGAATAAAATTTTCTTGTTTTATCTACCAAACTTATGCCAAGCTATGGTTTTTTTATATTTCGTTGTATACATTTTTTTTTAATTAAAAAAACATACAAAACTATACCCTCTGAAAAGCATGATGGTGCTTTGTCAATAAATTTGATATTTTCTCGTTCCATTAAGAGATGTACAGAAGAATTACATTGTAGTTCTGTTTCCCCAACCTCTTAGAACAAGCAAATGGCGGACGATGTCGTCGTAAAAAGTTACCGGCGTCTCACTGAAGAACATGAAGAAAAAGAAGCGCCAAGTGAATTGCCGCGAAAAGGAAGCTCCAACTGGAGCCTTGCAAACCCATCCTTGAAGCGTTGTTGTTATTATCAGGAGGAGGAGCTGTTTGCCAACAAAAGAAAAGATGTTAGCAAGTTCAAAATTTAGATAAATGCATATGTTGGCGATGTCACTGATGTGTAGGTTTCGCTTATTTCTGGTCATCTAGGCTTTGTCAATTTGTATCGACATTGAATCTGGTCGATAAGCTTCACAGTTTACAGGCCTGTTTTAAAACATCAAAATGAAACAGAGTGAAGTGAGCTTACCTGCACAAGTGGACTGTGTTGTCAGGGTTGTAAGAACATTGGTCTTGTTAGTATAACCAGCATAGGTACAGGTTGTTTGATCGCAACCGGAAGTCGTGGTGTTGCCAAGAAATAGCTGACTCGAACCCTGGCATTGCATCGCAGGGCATCCAGTTGAATTCACAGTGGATGGCTCACATTGCAAGCTGTGCAGAGATGAAAGTTTGCATAGATTGTGAGAATCCACTAATGGGAAAATGAAAGCAAACATAACAAACTCATGAGAAACGCGCTTACGTCCAATTGTTCGCAGAACTACACTGGCATTTCACGCAATTGTTGGCGGTGAAGACGTAGGTGTTGTTGGAAACAAGTAAAGGGGCATCTAATGAGTTATTCGATACCGAAGATGAACAAGCTGCAAAAACAAAATCGGGAACATCAGTCATTCTGTAACTAGAACAATTGGCATACTGCAAAACATTTGAAATAACAGATCAAGGAAGCTTCAATCAAAGCAAGAGATCATCACTGCAAGCCGACTTAAACCAGCACGGTAGCGCCTAATCAACCGACGATGGTCTTACAAGAATCTCTCTGACTTTATCTCCTCTTTATATTTCCACTCTAACAAACAATTCAAAGGGATGAAAGTCCTCCCTCCAACTTTGCCATCTACTTTTCATTAGCGTTTTTTCCTTTTGGTCAATCTTTTTCCCTAGTCTACAAACTTTCAATCTCTCCTTACAGTAGTGCCATTAAAATATTAAATAAAATAAATATAAATAAAAACAGCTTAAAGCTTATCCAAAATTTCAATTTTTAAGCACCATGATGATAGTGATGTAAGTCCATTTTAGTTATAATTAATACAAATGGGTTTTCATTTTTTTCTCTTTTAAATATAATCCCTTACTTCAAAATCTAATTAACATAAGCTTTCTGGATTAAACTTTTTTTAGTTAATCCAAACCCAAAAAGGCAGATTACTTTTTTAAAATCGTGAAAAGTCAAAAAGAACCTTTGAGAGGAACATCGAGGACTTGATTGGCCTGAAGGGTCTTCGGATCTGCAATGCCATTGATCCTCAGCAGAGTCTCCTGGTCCGTCCCGTACTCGGTCGCGATTGCCTCCACCGAGCTCCCAGCTTCCACCACGTGTCCATAATGAACCACCCTCTCGCCGTTCACCTCGTCGCAGCTGCACGGCAGCGGGATCCACAGCTTCTGCCCGATTTTAATCAGACTCGGGTTGGGAATTTTATTCACCGCTGCAATTTCCTGGTACTTCACGAGCCTCGAGAACACGACCGTGGCGATGTGGTCGAGGTCGTCGCCGGGCTTCACGATGTACTGCGGGCGCTTGTTGGAGACGCCGGTGCCGTTGGAGCAGAGGCACGTGAAAGGGATGAGGATCTTTTGGAGGGCGGTTACGTTTTGGGTCGGGGGGGTGGAGAGGGGGAGGTTATTGGCTCCGAGAAGGGTGCGGAGGTGGGAGATGTTGAAGAGGGTTTTGATGGCGTTGAGGGTTGTGGCGTTTTCGGGGACGTAGTCGATGAGGGACTGGCAGGTGGTGGTGGTGGTGGTGGTGGTGGTGGTGGTGGCGGAGCAGTTGAAGGTGGCGGAGGAGGCGGGTGTGGTGAGAAATGAGAGGAGGAGGGAGAGCGTGAAGAGGAGTGTGGATATGGTGGGTGTGGAGAGAGAGAAAGCCATCGGTTTTGGTTTGTGGGTTTTGTTGGGTGAGGGGTTTAATGGGAGGGCTGAGGTTTAAATGGAGGAGAAGAAGACGATGAGGAGGAGGAGGAAAATTAAGCAATAGGTTTTTTCTGAGCTGGTGTGTGTGGACTGAACTGGAGGAGACCTTGTTGACTGAGTGGGGGCAGTGAAAGACTTGGGACTTTGGAATTTTTTTTATGGGGTTGCGTAACTGCGTTCTCGTCTGTTTTTCTCGTCGGCAATACTATATGCAGTGGGGTCATGTTTAGGAAATGGGACTTTTTTTTTGCTATCTTGGTTTTGTTTTGATTAATCTAACTAACTTCTGTTAATGAAATTTCAACTCAGAATCTTCTCCAACAATATAAAAAGATGTGTTCTATGAACCGTCTTTCAAATTTTATAGAACTCACGTATTTGAGCGGTCGATAAACAAAATACTCATCGATTTTACGGTACTTGTGTTTATAAACCCAAATAAAATTTTTGAGTAGGTGGTTTAGAGTTTTAAGAAGAGTTAAAATAAGATTAGAGCTACATGTCTTGGGGTGTTTTTCTGGTGCGACATTTTGTTGTTTTGTTTACATTATAGTACTGAATATTAGGGTTTAGGACAAACCCGTCACGCTATGACTATGAATATTAACAATGCTCATTACCCGGCATGTACGCAATAATTTCTATATAATTACGTATTTGTCTGAGTCATTACGTGTGTGTATGCGTAAAATATTGCGTTGACCTACATATCGCAAGAACTTGTGGCGAATATCATAGGGAGGAAAATGCAAGCCAAAGAGACATTTCCCAGCACGACCAAACGAGCAAATGATAGAGATGGTCAGCCCCAAAAAAACAAAGACGGACAGAGAGACATGTAAAGGATCTGGTTTTCAAAGGGCTTTATGATTGCATGGAAGGACGAAGTGAAGTCAATCTACATCAAATCTGAAACGGCCGATAGCTTATGGCGGACAAATCAACAAGAAGGAAAATTCTTGCATTTGACTTGTTTTTGGTTGGCTCCTAGGGTTTTCATTATTAAGTAAACTCTCAGAGTGCAACAAAGATTGTGAGAGCTCTATCAATTTCCCCCTTTTTGAATTGGTTTTCTTTCTTTGGTGTGTGCTGACCCAGATGCAAGTTGGGTTCATATGTTAATTGGATGATTCGTGTTTGCCAAGTGGAATGGGTTGGGGTCATCCTCAGCAAAGTCAAGGCTCTCGTTTTATAAGAATTCCGTCCTCTTTGGGTCACCTATTTTTTTTGTTTTTTTTTTTTTTTTTTTTTTTTTTTTTAATTAAATCTGAGTATGTTTACCACCACCAAATAGCCTATTTGTGATTACTTTTAGAATGATTAGAAAAACCTAAATTGCTTTTAGATGATACACACATTATTTTAGTACATTTTGAAGCAGCATCTCGTGGTATGTGTTTTTTCATGAAGCACTTACATTTGCTTTCTACATAACATTCCCAAATAGGTCACAAGTCATTTGGTTTCATTTTAAAGGGGTTTGATCCTGACCATATGGATCTTGATTCATGGTTTAGTTTCATTTTAGGCCCTAAATCCAACCCAGAACAAGCCCTTGATGTACCGCCAAAGTTTTGTAGTACCCGCACCATAAACCCTTTCAATTGCCTGAGTCTTGATTTTGCCCCACAGTTGTAAAGTGTACATTTATGTTGACAAGTGTATTCAAATTACTCTTGACACAAAACTAGACCAAGAATTTTCCAAAAGATAACACAGCTATTTCAAGTTCCTACAAAATTTTGAGTAAACCCCACAGGAACCAAGCTTCGTACATCATGTGATTCAAGAAAACAACTGGCTAGGAAGATAGTAAGTTATTCATTTACTTCTTATATCAAACGCAGCTTCCTCTCAGGTTTAAACCAGTTACTCGAATGAAGAGGAAATTGAGTGTAGAACATGCACGCTGTGCTAAGAAAAAGTTAACTAAAAGAGTCGGAAGAAACACATTTCACTTTTCCTCTAGGCGCCGGAGCATGGACTCAGCAAAGCTTTGTTGCCTGCAAAAGAAAATAACCAATAAGCCCCGCAATTGTGAACTGCATTGTATAAGCTTTTATGCCTTATGTACACAAATACAAGGAAAGGGTTCAGAAGATGAAAAGCTGTTTTTAGCTTCTTTTTTTTCTTTTTTTTTATTCTGAAGAAAAAAAAGGGCAAGAAGAAAATTAAATTTGATTTACTTTCGCTCTCTGTGCTTTGGGCTTGGGCGAGAGTATTTCAGGTAACCATCCCATGGGACCTTCTTAAGTCCTGCTCGCGTAGAAATTATATCTCTGACCCTGCATAAAAGGATCCAAATGAATGAGATAAACAAGACCATACCAACCTTGCAGGGGGGAGCATGTTGTTATTGATTACAAGTCCAGAGAAGAATGTTTTTTACCTCTCTGCAAATTCAATGGGGGACTCCCCAGGCCTAATATTTTGAGGCTCCAAATACCACACATCACAAACAACAGCCCATGACGTCATAAGCTGTAGCAGATGCATTGTGAAGGACTGCCTGCAAAACAACATATTATTGGCATCACCAACTGCATATCACAATAGACCAAACGCCCCAAAACGTTGGTAAGTGTCTCCAAAATCATGGATCCAAAGCACAGCCAATGGCCAAGTTCCATGGGATGGAATCTAAGTATTATGACTATGTTTAAGCATCGTAGGAACATTTTAAGCCTTCAAATAGAATATTTACTCTTTTCAGAGTGGAAGGTGAAAGTCAACAAGAACTTTCTTGGTGATGTGAAAAACACAAGCTGTGATTCAACTAAGGAACTTATTTTCTAAGCAAATACACAAGTCTCAGTGGACGTTAAATTAGTATGTCATAATCCACTCCTTACTTTTTGCTGTTCCAAAAAGCATCAACGAAAATTTTGTTGTACTTGATTGCGACAGGGCAAACTGAGCAGCCAAGCTCAAATGCACCCTACATCATATAGAAAATGAAAGTTGAGAAAATAAAAACTACCAAGAACTTAATAAAAACATGTTCAGTACATATATGCTCTAAAGTCAACATGAATATTATTTATATAAAAAAATATATATTTAAAACTGAGCAAAACTAAAACTAGAAGACAGTTACCTTCTTAAACATAACTGTGTAGTGATTGTTTACACATGTTCCTTCAGGAAATATAAGGAGAGGGTTATTGTCAACCCCCAGCACATGATCCCTTAATCTGAAAAAAGGAACAAGTACAAGTTCGTATAACAATGACATGGACAATGGTGCAGTTAAAAAGAGAAGAAAAAACTACTGTGCACTTTCTATTGGTTCTTACTTCTTTGTAACAATTTCCCGATCCTTTGCCTCTGAACGATTGAACCAAATGCATCCTACACTCTCCAAAATAGTGCTTTGCAACAATCCTTCACAAGAAGCATAAAAGAAGAGAATCCTCAATTTGATTCCATTTCTTATGTATATATAATAATGAAAAACAAACATAGTTTTTGCCATTCTAGATTGTTCAAAATCCACTCTTTCTGGTAAGAAACAATGGAAAAGTGCTGACAACCAAAAAGGCCCAAACCTCCTCATTCAAAGTTCAAAATTAGACAATTTTACTTGAACGACGTCAATGATCAATGCATAAGAAGAAAACTACTACAGAAGGGACATTTCTTTGACTAAGAAACAGTAACACTATCACGTTCATATTGTAACCCAGGAAAACAAGAAATTTGCATGCAAAGCCAGAAAACTTCAATTCCATCAATGGCCTGAACAACCTACACATCTAAGATGGATCATTACTGTAGAAACACTACATAAACTGGACAAATCTAACCTAGCACTTTCAAAAATGAATCACACGTGTTAATTGTTGAATTTCATGGATACGCATAACTCAAGTGTCCTTGGAATGTTTTGAACTTTTGGCAGCCACACTTCCAATACATATATAAGCAATAATTTATGATAACGCTATAATACTCCAATTCTGATAGTTTTTTCAAATTATATAATTTTAATAATTAATTAAGAAAATGTATAGCAACATTGACACTTACCAACCCATCCAGGATGCTTTTGCATAATTACAGCAAATGCAGTCATTTGCTCTAAGATGATGAAATCAATCATGGAAGTGTGATTGGCCACAAAAACCTGCTCAAACCATGAAAGAAAAGCTCAATTAAGGCATCCTAAAAATGAATATTGATCGTATAAAATGATACAGAAATATTTTATGACATCTTAAAAAGGAAATTTAGAGTTAAACAGTACCTGCTTAGGCCTCATGCTAGGCCGTGGCCCATGGTACTTTACAACCCCAGTCCAAGAGGCAACAAAGAAGCTACAAATCAACTCCACCAAACACCTCTGAAAAGAAAACAAACATCATAGCGTAATAAGTACGGAGGGTCATTACAGATGATTGAGTCACTAGTCATATAAACCATTGCTTCATTTTTCATGTAAGGATGGTTTACTCATAAATTTTTCAGTCATTTGTGCCCTGTTGGGTCACTCTAGATAATTTTTCATAAGCCTTGCCATAAATCATTGTTCTAACCAGTGAGAACGAAGAAGAAAGTTCTTTGCAAAAACACATTTCTACTCATTTTTAGAGTGCTTAAACAGATTCAATGTGTAGACCTATATGACTAGAGCAATTTTTGAAGATTATGCAATACAACATCAATTCACCTGATGCCTATATATAGCAGGTAAAAAGACCCAACCTCACTATCAGAAGATAGGAAAAATGCAACGCTGATTGACAAAAACAGAATCACATATTTTGGGAAGAAATCAGTTAAAGGAAAGAAGTAATAGATAAGAATCTGCACCTCTAAATTTTTTCTCAATTTATCATGGCCTTTCAGCAGGAAGTGCACTGGAATGAAGGATGAAAGGAAAATTATCCATCCGATAGTCAATACTAGAACCCTGCACAATTGATGGAGCTGCATTAAGCGACTGAACAAACAATAATACAAGATCCCATAACCATGGAAGCACAGCCATCCAGAATCAGTCAGAGTAATTCCGGTAAACTCATGCAAAAGCTAGTGTGCAATGGCAAGAATGCATGAAACATTTGAATTTGCCGACAGAAGATAGAAAATTCTAACCTCGCAGGAAATAGAATGAAATAGCGAACCACCACTCCAAAACACCACAAAGGGAACAAATACACATTCCAGTTCCATGGCTCTGGAGGATTCGACTTAAAGCACCTTGTGAATGAGTCCTGTTCATTTCCATTCACGATCATCATAGGAATTAACATAATCATGAACTAAAATTCGATAAAATTTTCATCTTTACAAAAATTGGCCAAATCAATGCAATCTAGAGCCCATCAATTACTCAGCTAGCTAGCTTCTAGCTAAAACACATAATCATTTACTTTCTCCCCATAAAATCAGAGCTTAAAATGATTGAATCTTCAATACAATGAGTAAAGTAATGAATCAGAGCGAGCACTTACATCGATAATGGCTCCAGCAGCCTCGGTAAGGGTAGGCGATATGTCGAGCAAATCACGCCTGCGAAAGTAAATAAGTTGATGAAATTCTTGCTCATTCTCCCACGGTTTCTCGATAACCAAACAGACAGAGCACAAATGAAATAGAAGAGAAGAAAGAGAGATTTTACAGGCGAAGCTTGCCGTGCGGTTCTTGTTGGATGGAGGCTCCGGAAGGGAGATAATCTTCGATGTTGGGGCGATCCAGGTCCAATTCGGAGCTTGAGGATTTGAGCTTCCCGGGGCTGCTCATGCTTTCTCAGCTCCTCACTTTCTTCTTCTTCTACTACTTCTGAGATTCGCTTCGGTTGTTTTCGTTTTTCGATTGTCTGTTGGTTTTTATTTTTTATTATTATTATTATTTTATTGCGGTTGTTGATGTGGTTAATTTATTATGGACGCAGGAGCCCTCAGCAATCCCAAGCAGTGGCATTTTAATTTCAGGAAATCCTAATTCACCAAAATAAATTCACTTCTCTCTCTTCTTTTTTCTGTCAAAAAAATCACTTCACTTTTTTTTAAAAAAATTTTGTCCATTTGTTTTTAATTTGATCAGTCTATCCTTTTTAGTATTTTCGTCGTCGAAGCAAATTGCTTCAATTTGCATTCTTTAATTCTCAGTGAATTAGCTTAAGCAACCCAACAAGTTTGATACAAAATACTTACTGGAGCTCAATTAGAGGGGAAAAACCCCACTCCCGTTGTCATGTTCTAATTGTTCTTAGTGTTCGAAATTATTTTAGTGCCATTTTCCGATTTTTCAAAACAACCCAGTTGAATCCCAAAACAATACTTTTTTGTTATGCAATGTTAAAATACTTAGACAAAATAACAAAAATAAAAAGCAAAATGTCTTAATGCCAACGTCCCCAATCTAAGCTCTGCTCATCAGAGTATTTTTTTGTTGGGGGACCAAATTGAGAAAGAGAGACGGCCGCTTCTTCCATTGACTAATGGTGGTCTATGAAAGTTGAGATTGATATGCAGAGTGGCCTTGGACCAGTCACCAGCCCTGATGCCTAAGAGATTGGTGGCCGCCTAAACCATTGTAGGACTGCAATGCTTAACAGTTTGGATATGGATGGATAGTTTTGTAGACTGCATCCCCAATGCCTTCAATTAATTTGACCGCAAAGAAGAACCAATCAAACCATCAAATTATTTGCCCTAGCCACACACTTTGACGTGTTAAACTTATCATCACCACCAACTCAACTTGGCCGATGACCAACTTTTTTGACACGGTCTTTGAATTTTCCGAAGAACTTAGACAGCACGTGTGTGTATGAATATTGCATGTCAATGGTGGTGGTCTAACCCCAATAACGTTATGTTGGGGCCTTAAATGCGGTTGCGATGAGATTGAAGAAGATGAACTAGCTTAAGTATTCATCTAAACCGATTAAATTTTTTAATCTGAATTTTCAGTTTTATTTGACAAAAAGAAGAAGTCAAACATTCAAAATCAAACCTGATCGTAATAGTTCAGTTCGATTGCACTCTGAGCTTTTATATATCCACATAAATCGAATCGGACCGACCACTTATTTATTTTTATATTATTTTTATCTACATGTGTAGTCTTTTTATTGGCTAATAACTAGATGGATGTTGAATTTTGACGTATACTTTGAAGTAATTGATTTTTAGGTTGTAATTATATTAGTTATTGAAAATTTTAAGTTTGATGTGGTATTGAATTTTATGATGGTTTAATGTGCTACTAAATGAAAAATAGTTATGCATTTTTCTTTTGTCATCAACAAAGTTGAAAATATGCAAAAGGAAAAAAGGATTGGTCCTAGGCCCATACAGCCCAAACGACCACAAAAAAAAAGGGTTGGTTTCTTTCTTTCTTCAATGATTTTTTTATTAAAAAAAAATTAAGCTGAATCAAATCGTTCATTTGTAATCGATTTGGCAAAAATTTAAGAGTAAAACCAATCTAATTGGACCATACTCACCCCTATAATGAAGCAATCTCAAATTTAGGGAAAGACTTCTATAAAACGGGAATAACACTATTTTGTTATCTCTGACCAATAATGTTATAACACGCATGGTAACACTTTTATATATCATAGCATTATTGGTTGGAGATAACATATTGCAACTAAGTTTTTCACCCAGACCCGAACTCCTCTGTTATTCTATTGTATTTTATACGCTAATTTTTTCTTTATATATATATATTTTATTGGCTAGCTTCACTAACATTTTACATTTGTCGTCGGGATTGGGGTGGTATCAAGTATCACGTGAAGCATTACACAATACAGGGTAGAGTTGAATAATTCACATGGTAGTGCGCAACTTGCTTGACAATATAAGGTGGGGCTTTCGGCTGAGAATGCATTTTTAGGTTACAAAACAATTGAATGTGACAAAAACATATCATTCACATTCACGACTACCATTTTATTCTAAGCTTGAAAAAGCAAGCAAGCTTTAGCATAAGTAACTAGTACAACGAAACACTGAACGTCTGAATTAGAGCAGTGTGGTTGTCTCCTTGTATTCTAGAGTAGTTTAAAATATCAATATATAAAAAAATAAATGTAATACCTCGCGTAGCAAAAAGTTTATAGATAAAGTGATTAAGAGTATTTATCCGCGCATTAAGGGACCTAGGTAGAAGAAATTTCAAACTCTATCCATGAATACACCCAAACAACGTTAAAAATCAAATAGCCAAATCTTAAAGCATGTCATCTTATCAAGAAAAACAATACCTACACGAAAACCAAAAAGGTGTGAAACCAAACTAATGTGCCCGTCTTCACAATTATAGGCATATGGAATCATCTTTAGGAATTTGTGAGTCTCACACTCTTTATGTAAGAGGCAAGCACAACACATTCGCTTTATAAAAGTTTTACTCATACATGTATATGAAGACAAAAGTCCAATTCAAACTTTATAAGCGTAATTTTTGTTGTTGAGGGAGATAAGTTTTGAGCTTATGGAGTCTAATTCTAAAATTGTTTGTGGTGAGTGTATGTCAAAAGAAACCTACTTTTCTTTTGAGTAGGAGATTGACACAAGCAAAACCCTCCTTCACATCATAGAGAAGTGACCACAGGTTCAAAAGAGCTTTTGCATGGATAGGCTTCTAGATCTCCAACAGCCCAACAAACTGTCAAATCTCTATTATTTGTTATGTAATTTAAGATGCTGACAAAATGGTCCCTCCCTAATCATCTTTCTTTCCTTTTCAGTTACCCATGTGGTTAATTAATCACCATCTCTGCCTCTTGACATTTTCTCATTTTCTCCTCCTTCCTTCAACTTCTTAATCACCAAGTACAACCTACCCTAGCCAAGCGTTAGGTACATCATGCATCCCCCAATAATTATAATTAAATTATCTTTCAACTAACCCCATTAACTAATAACCAGTCAATTATCTTTATTTATACCTAATTAACAACTAATTAAGAAAGAAATTGTGTTGACACCCTAATAAAACCCAATTAGGCACACAAAATAATCCACAAAACACACAGTTCTAGACTTTGTTTTCCTCTAAATTTAGACCCAACCTTTCTTATTATTATAAGTTTGGTCAAATCTTTTTAAGATAATTACGGTTTGACCAATGACCATGCTGCTGAGGATCCGTTTCATCGTTTGATTTGTGGGCAAACCGAAACCACCAGGTTTTTGAAACGTCAAACACACTAAACGACAATAAGCACGCACTTAAATCACATCGTAAATCGTTATTAACAAGTCCTAAACGACAATTAGAGGGGCTATAAGAGCAGCACCACGCTTGCAGGGGCACGTGAAAGCATCAATCGCTCCCGCTTCAACGGAAAGGCCGGCTTTCAGTGATGGAACGGCTGAGTCACGCGCTTGTGCTGGGCTTTGGAGTCCATTTGTCGTCGGAGGAAATAAAATAAAATAAAGAGAGAAAAGGTCATTGAGCACGTGAGTTGCACGTGAGGAGTGACGGAGAAACAAAGATCTCGCCGGAAATATATAAAGATTGTTGGACTTTGTGTGTATAGCGCTCGTACCAAAGTTTTAGGAATCATTTACCTCATCCCACACTACACATCATCATCACCATTCGGACACTAACACACTCCGAGCGGAACACACCCAAACGAAACCCATTAAGAATTACGCGCGCGATGGGTTTTAGGGGAGGGCCTTTTTGGTGAAGATTGTTTGTTTTCTTGCGGGGGAAAGTGTACATGACGAGGAGGCTCAAAACGCCGTCGTCGAAGCATCACTCGTCGCCGCAGCGAGACTCTTCTCTTCTCACACAATAATCACCTGATGTTCGTCTTCTCCTCCTCCAGCTTCAAATACAACGACTTCGTTTCTTCTCTTGCTCTGCAACAACAACACCAACAATGAAGAAGAAGAAGAGAGACGTAAGCAATGGCCACCGCAGCATCAACATGAACAGCGTCATCAACGTCATCCCCCTCAGCGGCGTCGTTTTCAGAACCGCCGTTATCCGGCGACACCTCCGCCGTCTCCGCTACCACGTGTTCCCCCTCGTCTCCGCCGTCTCCGGTTGCCTCCTTCTCCTCCTCGCCGCCTTATCTCTCCTCGCTCCGTCTCCGGTTCTGCATCACCACGATCACCTCTCGCTCTTGCGTCACTACCATTCCTCGGTACGCAAGCACGCTCTTGATGACCTCTCATTTCCGGTTTTCACGGTTTGTAATGATTTTACATTTTAGTGACAATTTGTTGTGGTTTTTGAGCTCAGGATGACAATGGCGTCGTTGAGGCCCGGTCGAACTCGGATGAAACGGCCACGTTTCGTGTTCCGGTACGATATTTAATTTAATGGAGCTCCAATAAAAGATGTTGATTTGTGTACAATTCAATTTAATTTATTTTCGTTTTGATTTTGTTATTTTTAGAAGAGTGGAGGGAGCTCAGGTCGAGATTTATGGAGCACAAGGAAATCGGATATGTTCCATGGTTGCAGCAATGCCGCCGATAACTTTGCAAGTAAAGTATTTAGATATTACTTATTTCATTTCTGCTCTTTTTCCTTTCTCTCTTTCTATCTAATGAAGAATCTTTCTAGTTTCTCTTAACTTGATAATTTCTCAACCCATATTTTTTGAAATTTGATATTCAGACTGAGATTCAATTAAAACTTGATAATTCTTCTTAATCTGGAATATGCATAACAGCATTGATTGAAGTCTTGTTTTGTTGATTTCATGAATCATGACATCCTAATTGAATCGATTCTATGATCTGTGATGAATTTATAGGAGA